CGTCTACTAACTAACTACTTACTAAGTCCCCCGAGCCCCCAAGTATAGAGCTCAGAATCCTGAACCCTGACCGCTGCACCCTACACGCTTAAACCCTAACTCGAAACCCTAAACCATTAAACATAGCCTGGACCCCTAATTTCTATAAACCCAAAACCCTCCAAAAACCTAGCCCTTTAAATTCTATAAACCATAAATCCCGAAAAGCCTAAACCCCTATATTCTATAAACCCAAAACCCCACAAGATCTAAACTACTAAACCCTAAACCCCAAAACCTTGTAACTCTTAGATCCCACTTCTCCTCGCTCCCAGAGAAGCCAATACTCCTTAATTAAGGAATAATCCTCTTAAGCTATAGCGGCCTTGCTATTAATAATTCAAGGTATGTTCCTTAATTAAAGCGTATTGGGATCTCTGGGCTCTTTGAAGCCCTCTTCTTCAACAACCGGGCCCCCAAAAGTTCAAACTCTCTAAGATAGATCAAATGTATAAACCCTAAACCCTAAATCCTATAAGTCCAAAAAGTCTAAAGTTCCCCCGCGCACTGTCTAAGAAGCCCAGGTTCCGAATGGCGTCCACCGCCATCATCGCTGAATAGCACGCTTGCTCCAAAAGGCTCATCCCTTGCGGCTCCAGCGTTTAGGGCTTTTAAGGTTCTGGTGGTTTAGGGTTTAGGGTTTAGGAGTATTTTGTTTTGAATGCCTTTTTCCGTCCGCCAACAGAGGAATCTCCCTTGGAGAAAGCGTGTCATCTAACCTCAGGCTAGTCTTTAGGATTTAGTGTTTAGGGTTTAAGGCATTAATCATTCGAATAGGGCTTGGGGGGTATAGTATAAATACTATACTTGTCATAAGGAACCAACCAAAATGGTATTGGTAATTGGGTGGTTGTTGGGGATTTTGTAGGATCCCGAGTTCAGGTTTAGGGTTTAGGCTTCATGCCTTCGGGTGTTGTACGGGCTTACGGAAAGGGCTTTGTAAGGGCATCAAAAGTGCACTCTATGTTGTTTGGATCTTTTGCAACAGCCGTAGGAGCCCATTCGTGTATTTTGTGTTGAGTTAGCTTCTTCTCCCCTAAACCCTAAACCCTAAACCCTAAACCCTAAACCCTAACCCTGAACCCTAGACCTACCCAATTCCTTCTGGATCCTTCTTGGGTGCCCTGATGCTAATAATCCCACGCTGCTTAGGTTTTCTTGTGTTCAGCGACTGAGGGGTCCAGGGTTTAGGGTGTCTGCAACATGAAGGCACCAACACCTAGACTGTTTTTTGGGAGGTTGTACTGAGAACAGACTAGAGGATCGTAAGGGGTAACATTTAGCTACAAAAACCTAGGCCCTTACATGAATTTCTTCTCGAATATACTATAAGGGTTCGATAAGACTAAATATCGGTGGCAATTTATTTTGCGAAACTTCGTGGTGTGTGTGTGTGTGTGTGTGTGCGCGCACTTCACCCTGATCGTGCAACTTGGAGTAGTGAATCTGGGAGGGAATTTAATCTCAGAGCTCCAAATGCCCAAAATAACAACATGGCAACACACCCATAAACGGAAGCCCTGCAAAGCACCAAAGCCACAAACATCAAATCATGAATGAACTCCTTAAACCCTAAACTCTAAACCCCTAAACCCAACCCTGAACCGTAAACCCTAAACCCTTAAATCCTAAACCCTCATCCCTAAACCCCTCCGGACCCGACTCTGAGCTCCCGTAGCAGGCCTTCCACGGCATAGGCGCCAGCAAGGTAAAAGCCATCTCTCCCCTGTTCACCGCGGATCCAGGACCACAGCTCCTGTAGGGTTGAGGGTTTAGGGTTTAGAGGTTTAGGATTTGGGGTTTAGGGGCTTAGGGGTTTAGGGTTTGGAGGTTTAGGGTTAAGGGTTTAGAGGTTTGCGGTTTGGGGTTTAGGGTTTAGGACTATAACTATAGGCATCTAAGCTTTGGAGCTTTGGGCTCAACGCTGTACACATCTGTACATACATATATACGACATACTTACGCAAGTGCGTGCGTGTATATACATGTCCACATAAACATAGTTAGATAGCTAGATAGATAACCTTTCTATGCACATATGTGTCATACATGACAATATGATACTAACGACAACAGCAGCAGCAGCAACAAGAGGAGGAGTAGTAGTAGTAGTAGCAGCAGCAGCAGTAGTAGTAGTAGTCGTCGTAGTAGTAGTCGTAGTGGTAGTGGTAGTGGTAGTGGTAGTGGTAGTGGTAGTGGTAGTGGTAGTGGTAGTGGTAGTGGTAGTGGTAGTGGTAGTGGTAGCGGTACTGGTACTGGTAGTGGTAGTGGTCGTGGTCGTGGTAGTGGTAGTGGTAGTGGTGGTGGTAGTATATAGTAGTAGTAGTAGTAGTAGTAGTAGTAGTAGTAGTAGTAGTAGTAGTAGTAGTAGTAGCAGCAGAAGCAGCAACAGTAGTAGTAGTAGTAGTAGTAGTAGTAGTAGTAGTAGTAGTAGTAGTAGTAGTAGTAGTAGTAGTAGTAGTAGTAGTAGTAGTATTACTCAATAATGACAGTAGCAGTATTACATATTCATCTTAACAAAAATAGCAATAAGATACCGTTAAGAGTGCAAACAATAAGACTACCGGTAAACAGAACAGCAACAGGAATCGAACCACAAAAAAACGTAACAATATTCGCCATACAAGATCCAATAATGATAGTGATAATAACAATGATACGAGGACTTGTAATACGACTACTGGTACTAATACTCGCCATAATGACGATAATATGTCGAATAATAATCAACAGTCACTATTTCTCAAAGTGTCCGAGGTACTGTTACGGGGGGATACTTCCCCAAACCGTAATAGTAATTCCTAATATCCTACATATTACTATGTAGGTACTTAGGACCCTCTTCGGGTATTTAGATGACTGGAGCCCTGGGATGTACTTGCAGGAAAACATACCCTAACCGCCGCAAACATCCCACAGAGTCGATAACTAAGAACCCTAAGCCTGAACCCTAAACCCCCAAACCCCTAAATCCTAAACCCTAAAACCCTAAACCCTAAACCCCTAAACCCTAAACCCTAACCCCTAAACCCCCAAACCCCTAAACCCTAAACCCTAGAGCCTGTTCTATTTGGTAAGGGACTTCGGACTCAGCGGTGTGGCGGAGCCCTTTTAAGGCCTAGGTATCTTCTATATGGGTGGTTGTCAAAATTAGGGTCCCTTTTCTCGGTACCCTGAATCATAGGTGCTGTATTATACTAAGGACCCCAAAAAAGGGACCTTAATATTGACAACCACCCATATAGATACATGGAGCTTTAGGGGAAGGTGCATGCAGCCCTAAGGGTCCATGTACCCAAATAGTATAAACCTTGGCCCCAGCGTAACTATATAGGGATTACTTTAGGGTCAATGTATACACTATTTCGGTACATGAACCCTTAAGCTCTAAACCCTTATAGTAGTACCCTTAAAGTAACCCTTACTTGGAGGGTCGGGGGACTTAGTAACTGGTTATCTTAGGGACTTATAAGTACCACAACCCCAATTGGGCTCCCTTTTAGGGTACTTATAAGCCTACTTACTAACTACTTACTACGTCCCCCGACCCCCAAGTACGGTACCTGTACAGGAATAACTACTTACTACGTCTCCCGACCCCCAAGTATGGTACCTGTACAGGACCCTTAACCGAACCCTATGGGGGGTGCAGATTCGGCTTCGGAGTTTCTGAGCCTAGGCACATATCAGAGTTTCCGAAAACAAGGGGCACGTTATTAAGGGGTCCTGACAATAAGGATCCCTACTGTTTACGGTGCTATAATCGGGTGCCCTGTTTTCGGAAACTCCCCTATCTCTCGAACGGCCCCGATTGCGCGAGATGGATTGGGCGTGCAGGGTTTAGGATCTCGGCCTTTCTGGAAAAGTAGGAGAGATTCGGAAATATGCTGGTTCATGGAAAAGTCTCTAGATTCGGGCCCCTTCTTGATTCCCAAAGACATCACAACACCCTTATAGAAAGGGCCCTCAAAGAGACGCTAATTTGGACTACTAAGTACCCCCTCATCCTAGATGTGGGGGTTATTGGCTACGGATGCAGGGTATCATGGTTCTAGCTACGGCTGATGGCTCTTGTGGCCTGCACCCCTCGAGCCTCAACCTGAAAACCCAAAATCCATTGAAGGATTCCTGTAGAGGAACACCTAAGGATTCGATATCGATCTCTTCAAAGGACCCCTCCCTTTCTCGGGACCTCTTTTTCATCCCTTTAAGGGAACCCTCAAAGGACCCCTGGACCCCTTGAGAGCCAGCGCCTTCATCGCCTTCGTGTAGGTTGCCCTGCCGAGGGTAACCTGCGCGGCGATAGGGCTGAAGGAGGGTCAAAAGACTGCTACTGCTATGGTATACCGTATAATACCTTAACCCCAAACAAGCTACCGTTTCAGGACTTATACAAATGCATAATTAATCAGGCACCCAAAAAAGGGCAGGTTATTTCGCCCAGCATGTCCTGTCGTTATGTCTTGTGATGGTATTGTTTGGACGTGTTTGCAAGCATGATTAGGCTACTTTACCCTAAGAGTCCAGGTACACAAATAGTATAGACGTTGGCCTCGAAGTACCTGTACAGGGACTACTGTAAGGCCAGCGTCAGTACTATTTGAGTACATTGATGGACGCTTACACCCTACACCTTATAGTAGTACCCTTAAAGGAACCCTTATCGTACCCTTAAAGGAACCGTATGGTACCCTTAAAGGAACCCTTCGGGTTGGGGGATCCAGGAAGGGGAGGAGGCTAGGACTACAAAAAGGGAATAAGGGTATTACTGGGCATCCTAGTTCACCTTCAGGAGTTTCAAGTAAAGCTTCTGGGCTGTAATATGTAGCGGTTTAGGGTAGGGTACACTTTACCTAAATTTCCCAACTCCCTAACTACCCTTGTCGTAGCCCGTATCGTTTACCTCTCATAATAAGGAATATGAGACCCCTTTAAGGGATACTTGGGGGTCCTGGCAGGGCTTAAGGGGTTTGGGTCGCCTCCTTGATGGTCAAATTCTCAGCCGGTTGGGCAGCTGGGTTCCACGTCTCGAAGAGGTCCTCGTCAAGGTCGTCGCGCCCCCAGAACTTGTTCCTCGTTGAAAACAGGAAGACCATACCCGGGCTCCCTAAACCCTAAACCCTTGCTAAAACCGAGTATAGTACAGCTTCAGAAGAAGGAGCCAAAAGAGGATACTAAGTACACAATTTGTCATCAATTTCTGGTCTGCCTCTTCCTTCAACGAAAAGCAAGGTGGAGCGTTCGAGTGAAGGTGTGACTGTGAGATGTCGACATGCAAAAACCCTAAGGTTGTCAAGTGCCTGCATATACCAAGTATGGTGTCGATAGTAGTAACTATGCGTATACTGTATTGTTTGAGCAGGTGGCCTCCGTGTAGGTACTTAGGACCTTTTGGGAAAAGGACAACCCAAGTAGCGCATAGCCCGCTCCACCATAAGTCTCTTGCATGGTGCTGTACGGACAAGTAACACCAGTTCTACTGCAGAAATAGCTGTGAACCCGGACAGCCTAGATGCTTGTCATACATATGTGCAACACTATTCATACGGCTGTTATAGGGTGTCGGGTTTAGGGTATCGGTGCTTTGCAGGACAGATTACCCGAGCTGGAATATCGAATGATTGAAGGCGGCTTCGCTGGAAGGCACTGCCTGCCCCGAAGTGTCCATGCACCCATACAGTATGTAGCTTCAGACCAATCTGTATTATGTACTAGGCATCTGCACATGGACCTGTAGGGTAGTAAACCCGGAACCCTAAATCCCTTAGTAAAGTGCAAAGCTCACAGTTCCCCTGACAAGACACTTGCAGCATCAGTAATCTAGCAACACCGAGTCCTGAAACCTATATCCCTACAGCACAGACTTCCCAGTAACCAAACCCTTTTCGGCCTTTACTAGACCCAAGAGTAACCTAGGAATAATAAGTGTGCCCTTGTTGGTTTGAAGGGGCTTATAAGGGAACCTGAACCCCAAAGAAGGGAATAAGGGCCTACTCTAGGTCCTAGTTCAGATGCCTATAGGGTTTAGGAGTTTAATTAAGGCCTTGAACCAAAAACCGCCAAATTGTCAGGGCCCAAGAGTCAGCCATACGGTGATCTGACATGTGCTCTCTGCACCATCTTCCCTGATGTTGAACGTTCGCCAATCCGTTCGCGACGGGGGCATGAGGGCTGGGTCCTGGCTGCGGGCATGAGGGTTCAGGCTTTAGAGGGATTATCGTTGTATCATGTCAGTTCGAGGCTTAGGGGCAAGGGTTTGAGGGCCTCGGGTTCAGACTTCCTAGAGCTAGGCCTTGTGAGCATTGCATGGAGCTTTCTGATCTGACAGTTGTAGTGCTTTACGGCTTGACTTGATTTGCAGGGGATTACAAGCGCTAGCGCCGACAGCGATTTGAGGCTCAAGGCTTGGGGCGTCCTTGTGGACCACAATGCAGCCCTTGTGATAGTGGATCTTCTCCAGCCTTTCCTCCCAAAGAGAGCAAGCCGGAGGCTCGAGAGCTAGGAGGTTCACTGCTGTTGGCTGTGTTAGTTTAGGGCAAAAATTTGCTTCTTTACGGCTTCCATGACTGCTAGCATCATTACCACCTGTAAGTCCCTGACTCGGTTCGAAACCCTATACACCGTCAACTGACTGCTGACATGTGCTAGGTGGGCAAGAGAGCACCTACGACTGTTTGAAGCCAAGGGGATCAGGGCTCAAAGCGTGAAGTTTCCATTTCTGTGTAAGGTTTAGATTTAGGGTTTAGGGTCCAGGTCTGTTTAAGGTCTCCGGTGGGAGTTGTGTGTTTTCCGACGGTTTACTTTGCAGCTGCTGCAGAGACTCTTGCTCCATCGTGGTGTTTAAGAGTGTGATGTTCAGCCCTAAACCAACGAAAGCCGCAGACTCCATGCCTTCCACTCCCCACCGAGAAGATATCCGGCTGCCGCGGCATCCGTGGCGACCAGTACCTTGAAAGCTTTCTGAGGGTTTAGGGTATATAGGCCCTTCGAGTTTGGGCAGTAGAGTTTGGAGTTTAGAGTTCAGGGGTTCAAGGATTAGGGCTGAGGGTTACCCTATGGGGATTCCGTAGTACGGGTTCCTCCTAAGGCTTCTACAACTGTCGAATGAGGAGCTTAAGCAGGGTTCCATAAAGGCTCTAACAGGGTTCGAAGAAGGTTTCCAAGGTTAGGTTTAGAGTCTACCTCTGGACCCCAAGAGTATGTAAAATCATAGCCTTGTATAGGTCTTGGGCCACTATTTTGCATACTTCTGGGGTCTAGGTAGGGTGGAGGGAGGTTCATGATTTTTGTATCTTGGGTTTAGGACCTACTTAGCTGAACACCCACGACCTAGCACTTCATGGATACAGATATTTTAAGGAAAACCCCAAACGGCAGGCCCGGTAGGTGTTCTAGGCAGCAAGTAAAGTATGGGTTAGCTTTTAGCCCAGACCTCTGAAATCCTTTCGTTGGGCATGCCTCGCAGAACCAAGGGCGGGGCCCTGGACCCTAAACCCTGCAATGGAGGTGTCAAAACATTTCAAGTCGAAGGCCAGTTCTCCGCAAGCCTACATGCTGCAAACGCCATTGTACTACGGCCAGCAGGTCAAGCCCCAAACCACCACAGTATGTAAGGCTTTTCAGACTCTACACAACACAGCACATGTAAACACTCTTGACACTCGCCTTCCAAACTTGCTTTAAGCCCGTGTGTTTGCCACCTGAAGGTATGTTCGTTCCTATAAGGGGGTTTCCGAACATAGCGGACCCTCATATATAGTACCCCTACTCTTCGGAAACCCAACACCCCTTGTGGAGTCCATTGTGGAGCCCTTTCACAACCCTAAAACGCTAAACCCTAAAACCCTAAATCCTTTAACGGAAACGCCCAAGAACAGCCCAGGAACCACATCGAAGGCTCTGCCATCGATGACTCGGGAGCCGCCAAAAGGCTTTACTGGGCAGCCTAACCTCAGATCCTGCGCAGCGCACGGGGTTCAGGGTTTAGGGTTCAGGGATTAGGCTTTAGGGTTCAAGCAGACCAGTAGGAATCCTTTAAAGCTCCCTTCAGAGATCTTCAAGGGTTCCTTGAGGCGTTTGTCGGTTTATGGGTTCAGGGTTTAGGGTTTGGGGGTGTATGGGTTTAGGGTTCAAGGATGTTCAGGGTCTAGGGTTCCTGTCATAGGTTGTCTGCAGGGTTACCCTGGATAATAATGGGGTTACTATACGGATCTTCAGGTAGAGGATGTTAGCTAGGATGCCCAGTAACCTAGGAATAAAAAAAGGACTGCCCTTTTGGTATTGGGTAACTTTATGAGGAACCTAGGACTACACAAAGGGAATAAGGGTTCTACTGGGCATCCTAGTTGGGTGGTTGTCGAAATTATGGTCCCTTTTTGGGCCCCTATTATCATACGGCACCGAATATTTAGGGTGCCCAATTAGGGACCATCATTTTGACAACCACCCAGTTAGGGCTCATCCTAAGGCTGATAATGTACATCCTGCATTACCCTAATGACCCTACACTATGGGAATATTGGTATATTCCTCATAACGGGTAAAGCAGGATTTATGTCAACCGTAGTTAGGGTTCAGGGATGGTCCGGGTTGAGGGTGAGGGTTGACGGTTAAGGGTGCAGGGTTCGGGGACTAGGCTTACCAGTCTACTGTCTCTGATGAGTCTAGGAGGTGAGGTAAGATTGGCTTCGTCGAGATACCGTGATCCAAGGCTGTTTGCAGTGGAAGTTTATCTATTCTGCTCGTACACATCTCGAGAAGCTAAGCCGTCAACTAGCACCCTTCTTCAAACGGGATACTTAATGAGGGACGTACAAGATCTACCTACAGTCTCCATTGTAGCTCGTTTTTGTTCGTTTTGGGGGTTAATTTATAGGATCCTACATAAATAACCGGATAACCACCAAAAAAGCAACTACAACGAAGACTATAATACAAGGGCCTGAATAGTTAGAATAGGGTGTAAGGGGCCATTTCACTATTGCAACAAGGAACCCCCCCAAATGGTAGAGGCAGTTAAGGCCCCTAGATTAACGGTTGATGATATAAATCCTGCATGACCCATAATAAGGAGTATACCATAATTCCCATGATTTTGGGTCCTTAAGGTAATGCAAGATTTTTATCATCAACAGATAGGGTTTAGGGCCTAGGGTTTGGGCTTCAGGGTTTAGGGCCTAGGGTTCGGGCTTTAGGGTTTAGGGCCTAGAGCTTGGGCTTTAGGGTTTAGGAAGTAGTTTTGCAGCAGCCTCCGAACTGGCGGTCCTTTCCCCGCAGGAGAGCATCCTGCAGAGCCCGCATGGTGGGATAGACGCGCATGATGTTGCCGCTCCTGGGCTGCTTGAAGTGACCAGGCAGAAAGAAGTATAGATTTACCTATAGTCCATTGTAGTTCCTTGTTTTTTGGTTGACCAGTTTTATGGTTAGGATCCTATAATAGAGATTTTGCTTTACCAAAAAAGGAACTACAATGGACACTATATGTATGGTTCATAATGGTTCCCAAAAAGAAACAGGACCCCCAAAAGGCATTAAAGTATAGACTCCTGTCTCAAGGGGTAAGGGTTTTATGTTTAGGGTTTAGGGTTAGGGGTTTAGGGGGTGGTAACGGTTGCCTTTAAGTAACAGGATCTCTCCAACAAAGTATCAAAGCATGGCACTCCAAAGCCCAGGCTCTCTTGATACATGCGAACGAGCGGATTGCTTGCCCGGATGAAGCCTCGCCAGGCAAAGAGGTAAAAACACGAGGCACTGGACTGCAACCGGATGTGAGGCTAGAAGATGCATGAATCTGCATGAAACCTCCGACCTCTCAAGCTTGCCTACGCTCGTTGCGCCCAGGGTCCCTTAATTCAGCAATATACCTTAAATCATAGCAGGACCCCTTATATGGGAGTTTCCGACCATAGGGGACCCTAATATAGTACCCTAACTAGTAGGATCCTTTTTATAAGGACCCCCAAAAAAGTTACCCCTAAATTTCAGAAACTCCCATATGATTCATGGTTATAAAGGATTTTGGCAGGTCTGGGATCTTTGCGCCCAGGCTCCGAGAATCACGCCGGCGGGCGTGTTGTTGGCCTGGGCTTTTAAGTAACCAGGGAGAAAAAAAGGTATAAACATGTATTTCATCATGGTTCCCTTAAGAGCAAAGTATTAAAGTATGGTACTCCAAAGCCCAGTAAGGTTTCCGGCAACCCTAAACCTCTGAACCCCAAACCATAGACCTCTGACCCCTAAACCCTAAACCTCTAAACCCTAAACTCTGAACCTCTAAACCTCTAAACCCTAAACCTCTAAACCCTAAACCTCTAAAGCCTAAACCTCTAAACCCTAAAGCCTAAACTCCCGAGCCCAGTGGCTTGCTCGTAAGTGCAGGACAGCATCCAGCTGAGGTGCAAACCTGGGTCCAACGTCGGACGTGCTCTGGTTCCTCTAAGGCGGTCTATAAGGGTTACGACCAGGGATGTATAAGGGCTTCCTATAAGGGTTACTACAATACCCAGAGAACCCAATATCCCTTAATTAAGGAATAACTACCTGAAATTATAGGGGCCTTTAATCTGATGATGAGGCTTTCATATAATGATTTAAGGCATATTCCTAATTTAAGGGGTATTGGGATCTCTGGTTATGAGTTTGTATAGGGTGTTATCATATACCACTATGCAATGGTTTTGTCTGTACTCCGCCTCCCTTTCCAACAAAGAGTCTGGTCTACGCATTGTCAATGTCCCCCCTTAACTGTACCCTAAACCCTAAATCCTAAACCCTAACCCCCCCTCCCCCCAGTTGAAAACAAGAAGCTATAGATCCGGTAGGCCTCATGCTTGTGAAGGCCATGGCGCGTCATATACTCCAGGAAGCTCTCACCCTCCGTCTCCTGCAGCGATGGAACACGCAAAGGGTCCTAGTTGCTGATAGGGGGGATACTTCCCCAAACCATAACAGTAATTCCCAGTATAGAAACCATACATTCTGCCATTTGGGTACCTTGGACCCTTTGGGATAAGAAACCTGCAGCCTCTTTGATTTTCGGACAATCTATATATTTTAGAGAATTCGGTACTGTAGACATAATGTTGGTTAGCTATGAAGGGACACTACGTGGGAGACGATGAACGCAGATCTGTTACATGCGAACTCAACTATGATGGAAACCCTCCCAGAACCCTTACAGTAGCCGTAACCCTTGTACATCGTAGAAGCCCTTGTTGTCGCAATGACATTTATAAGCACCACGGTAGTAGCCCTCGTAGAATCCTAAAAGGAACCCTGTTCGAATTTCAGCGGGTATTTGGCAGATCCTTGCAAAGGAAGACCGTGAACATCAGCTTCGCCAGATAGGGAACATACTTCAGATGTTGCCAGATATGTCCGCACCTTCCAGGGTGTCCGGGCCATGAAATCGTGAAGAGGGGGATTCATGCCTGCTTCAGCGTGCTTGCAGCGAGTGCAAATCGCAATTGTCCCAGCGTCAGGCAGGTGCAAACTGCAACCCTAACATTCGAAAACCGACGACCATGGCCCCAAACCCTAGCCCCTAAACCCCTAGGCCCTAAACCTTAAACCCCTCAACCCCCCCATTCCCACCAGCTGGTAGATGTAACCATCAGCATGCTCGTCCCCTTCTGGTAGGCCGCATTGTAAGGAACCTCAGATCTGGAAGCGGCGTCAGGGGTTCATTTAGTTCGGAGTTACCAGAAACGGTTTAGGGTTTACGGTTTAGGGTTTAGGGTGCAACTCCAATATCTCTTATAAGGAATACACCGTAAATCTTATTATATAAGGATCCTACAATAATTCTTAAGTAAGGTATATTTCCTGAATTAAGGGATATTGGTGTCTCTGGGTTTAGAGATCCAACTACGGTTTGGAAAGTGTGATTTCAGACTTTACGGTTGTAGACGCTTGTAATCGCGAGACGTTCCTCAAAAGGCCGTCGACAAGAACCCAGAGACTCCAATATCCTTTGGCGGGGGGAATATACTTCAAATTATACTAGCCGCCCTACAAGTAATATGAATTACTGTAAGGTATATTCCTTGATTAAGAGATTTGGAGTCTCTGGGAACTACGGTGGCCTCCCGGAAAGCCTCGAAGCCGTCTGTATCAAAGTCCAGGGTGCTGCTCGGACCGGTATCCCGAGCTCCCGGATGACTCCCAACAGGTGCCGGTAGTAGTGTGGCATCATAAAGCCTCAGTCTTCTCCAAAACTCTAAACTCGGAAATGAGATCTGTTCAATGCTGTGGCATGAAGCACTGCAATACCTTGAACATGAGGGTTTAGGCCTCGAGGTTTGTGGGTTCTCGGCTAAGCGCACGAAGAGTGACCCGAAACGTAAGTTCCTGCCAGCTCTACATGTCTGTCTACGCCCGGATGTCCCCAAAGCTGGCTCTTTCAGGTCAAGGGAAGATGACGAAAATCTGCATTGAGGCCGTGACCACGAAGACTTTGACTCTCTTCTCCAATAACCAGGCCCAAGCAAAGTTCAAGCTTTTGAAGCTAGACGAAATATATAAAGCCAAAAAGTTTAAAGTTCTCCAATAGGCTAAGTAAGTTGAACACGACCAAACCCAGAAAGCTTAGTATTTGGAGGCGGACCCCGGCCCGAACTAGCCGAAGTGCGGATTGCCCTACATTTCCTACGTGTGACCTACTTCTGAAGTCACCTGAGCCTTCCTATACTGAACTTGGAACCCTAGCAAAAACTAGCTGTTTCTTAGGGGTTATAATAACCGAGAATTAACAAGTATTTCTAAGTACCCCTAAGCTTCGATGCTTGATACTCTGAGATCTGAAGTCCAACCACTTCCACAAGACGCCAACAACTACCTATAGTCTCCATTGTAGCTCCTTTTTTTGGTTTAAACAATGGTATATGGATCCTGAAAGGTAACCCCGAAAAGGAACTACAATGGAGACTATAGGTATTGCATAGACAGTTGCATGCAGGGTTTGGGGCCTAGAGTCTTGTGTAGCACAGGTGCCAATTTACGAAGGTATTGAGTATTGCAGTAGGCGCCGTTGGAACCTCTGCCAAGCACTATGACGCGAAGCTGCGATCGAGCATTATGCCTCACAACCTTATGTAAGGTACTTATAGCATTTGATTTGTGAATCTTGAAAGCATGGGGATCTGATTATCCTCAAACCCTAAACCCTCAACCCTGACGCCATCACAAACCTTATCTGTGACATGGGGTGTCATCGAGAGACGCAGGGGAACGTCCACGGCGACACCGGGTGCCAGCTCTTCTTGCAGACCAACGAGGCCACATTTTGGCCCAGCCTCCTTAGATTTGCTGAGATCTTTCGGAGACTAATTCATATAAGGTTTAAGGAGTTCGGGTGAGGGGCGGGGCGTATATCTAGTGAGCCTCAAAGTTTCGAGTACGAGCCTGAAAAGCTACATCGAGTCCGACATCTCGAAGCGAAAACTCAAACTTCTGATGTCGGATCAAGTCTCATAAATGATGACGTCGTGAGTTTCCTGCAGCAGGTGGGCTGCGATCAGTCCACTCATACCTGGTCGTGGCATGGGAGTATACGGTCTCCAAGTGTAGCCCTGAGACAAGCTTCCAACTAAGATCTCCCCATATGGAAACGTATTCCCAATGAGCCAACTCGCATCACAAGACCTTTGAAACAACCACCTAGAGTGGGTAAACAATGTTTCGTCCTGCATGGCTACGATTTGGAGTCTGGGTTCTACGCGCTGAGGTTCCTGGATTCAGGGGTTCAGGGCCGAAGCGGCAGGGTTCGTGGGAAAGCTTACTAAGCAATCGGAATTCGTGCTTCCGGCCGTGATGCCGGCGGAGCGGGGCAAGAAACCTGAGGCAACTCCAGACCTTAGAAGGCCCTATTATAACAATGGCTTATATGCCAAAGAAAAACTGCAAGAGAGACTACCGTTGATGATATAAATCCTGCATTACCTTAAGGACCCTAAACTATGGGAATTACGGTATATTCCTTATTATGGGCCATGCAGGATTTACATCATCAACCGTATTATAGGTACATTCTCAAAGACCTCAGAAATACAAAGGCCCGCCTGAACCGATGATCGCAGCGCTTGGCTTAGCCAGGACTTGAGACAGCTCCACCTTGACCTCGTGTTGATTCGGGACTGCGTCCAGGTCCCCCAGTGTCCGCTCATTGATAAGGGTACCCTTCCCTGTTACTCTACTTGAATAAGAGTTTCCTCTGCTGGAGAACCCATGTTATGCGCTTCACTTGAAATCTGACTTCTAGCACATGGCTTTTTGTGATAAATGGCTAAAATTACAGAAATTTCCCTAAGGGTCCATGTACCCGAATAGTATGTGGTTTGGCGACAACATATCTATGTGTAGACTATTTGTAAGCCAAAGTATATACGATTTTGGGGCACATGGATCCTTAGCGGTTTTAATGAGACAATAAAGCAATCGGACAGCAGGAAAGAGGGAGGCTAGAGGGCATCCAGAGATCCCAATACCCGATAACTAAGGAATATTCCTCAAATCATAATATTACGGCCTAGGCGTATTGGGACAGCCTCCGCCATATCTCAAGCCTTCATTTCCAACCCCCCCCCCCCCGCCCGGACCCCCTTCATTTTACTACTTTTTAAGAATCGGGTTGCGGGGCTTTCTATCTTTGACGTGCATGCTCTAACTGGCACTTGTTTATACGGTGGTCTAGATCTTACGTGCCCAAGTGCTAACCTACAAAACGGAACTACTATCCTCAGTGCTCTGGCCCTTTAGAGCTCCCCAAAGTATAGAGCCCTTGTAGAACGCGTCTGGCAAATTTAACTGTCATACTTGGAGGTTAATGGGTAGATACAAGTGGAGTTAGAAGTCCCCTAACAGGGGTTATTATGGCTACCATACTTATAACCCCACTTCTGACTACCCAATAACCTCCCAGATTAGGTCCTTTAGAGCTTTAGTGCCAGCGGTTGAGATCCCTGATGATCCCAGGCACCAGGACATAGTCCAAGTACTGCGCCAGCAAACGGGGGAAGGACGGCTGAAGAACCTGGGGCTCGTGGTTTTGGATTCAGGGTGTAGGGCTTGGGGCATAAGGTTTAGGGCTTAGGGTTGGTGGTTGTTGGGTTTCCAAACTAAGGAAATGATGTTGTCCACTCGTTATTTGTTTTGCCCGTGAGCTCCCAAACAAATCGAAATCCATCAAGGCCACTAGTTTACCCATCGTGAAGATGGTCCAAATCCTTAAACCCAATAGCCTATAAATGCTTGAAGAGACCTTTACTATGCAACCTGAACCTGCGCTACACACCCTAGACCCTAAGCTAAACATATCCTTGGTCAGTGTGGCGCCGCTTCAGCCCCTGAACCGCGGTCTTCAAGAATTACAGTAGAAGCCCAAAAGTTGGAAACCCAATAGCCTCAGTCCTTCAGACGAATGTATAGGAAATCCCAGCACCTTTTGGCCTTAATCCGGTGTCCAACTTTATGGGGTTTACTGTAAGGCCCCTACATTACAGAACTCTATTATAGACCCCTTATTATAGATCCCTGATTATAGACGCCTTTAAAGGAGCCCTTCAAAGGAAAACCCCTTACTGTAACGCAGATCATTCCCAACCCCGAAGACCTTCGTTCCTTGAGTCGGCCTGCCGTTGCATCAACAAAAAAAAGAAACACCAGATACCCAGGCCTGCAATCCCGGTCCTGAAGCCGGTTTAGAGTTTAGGGTTTCGGGTTTAGAGTTTAGGGTTTAGGGGTTTAGGGCTACAGGTTTAGAGTTTAGGGTTTAGGGCTTTTTGGGAAAATGGCTAAAGGTTACCTACTCTTCTACTCGGTAAAACGTGCTAGAGTCTACCCCACACCCCCAACAGCAACGATAGGGTTTAGGATTTAGGGCCCTTAACCCGAATAAGCCCTATCTTAACCTTAAATCCTAAACAAACCTGCACCCACAACTTCATGCAAGTTCCTCACAGAACGAGGGCCTCCCCCAACCCTGAATTCAAACATCCTCAAAACCCTTAAAACCTTAAACCCTACTAACCAAAGCCCCGATCCCTAAATCCCTAAATCCTATGATTACTAGTACTAGAACTAATACTACGACTAGTACTACGACGACTACGACTACGACGACTACGACTACTACGACTACTACTGCTACTACTACTGCTACTTACTACTACTACTACTACTACTACTACTACTACTACTACTACTACTACTACTACTACGACTACTACTACTACTACTACTACTACTACTACTACTACTACTACTACTACTACTACTACTACTACTACTACTACTACTACTACTACTACTACTGCGACTACTACTACTAGTAGGCTCCGTATTAAACAAGAGCCCAAGAGCGAAGGGCTCCAACGACTTCCAGGACGTGACGCGGAAGCCAGCCTCCTGCGACTTTCTGAGGGCTCCAGTTACCTAAATGGGAGTTTCCGAGAACAAGGGACCCCAATATTATACCCTAAATAGTCGGATCCTTATTATAAGGACCCCAGAATAAGGTACACCTAATTTTCGGAAACTTCCCAATAGTAGGCTACTGACAATATAAAGCATGGCCCAGTAGCTTATTGTTTAGGTACCTGGAGTCCTAGGGACTTTCTGAATCGCTTCGACTGCGTTTGAGGAGGGCTTGTAGGGTTTAGGGTCTAAAGAGTCTAAAGAGTTTAGGAATTTAAGGGACTTTTTCGGTTTAGAGTTTCAGGGTTCGAGAGGTTTTTCGGTTCAGGGCTTATCGGGTTATGGTTGTTGGGTTTAGGCTGCAGAGTATGCGGGTTCAGGCGTTAGGAGTTTTCGGTTCAGCGCTTACGGGTTAGGGATTTTTGGAGGTCTAGGGAAGGTCCTGAAACCGCAGATCCCTCGAAACCCTAGAACATCGGTTGAATCAAACTGCTAGGTTCTGCTAGATCAAACAGAAGCGAAGTCAAGTGAAAACCTTCACAAGCCAAGACCAAAAACACAGTGTGCAAGCTGGTTGAAGGCCTGCATTTACAACACCGTGTCTGGCCAGGAATGGTTCAGGGTCCAGGTTTGCCGGAAAGGCATTAGCATTGTTGAAATAACCAAGGATCCTGAACAATCAGTACTCTAACCATTCATGAGGGTTTCTTGGTAGAATAAATACGCATAGTAACTACCCAAAATAAGCCTCTTCTTGACGCCCCTCTTTTACGCTTGCAGGCACCTTGCGGCTAAGGTGGAGGCTTGGCTTGAGGCTCCAGTGCTCGAACAAAGACAGCAGGTAATGACAAGCCCAATGCAAGTACTTAGGTTTAGGGTAGAGGGTTCAGAGTTTAGGCTATTAAGATTTCGAGTTTAGGGGTTTAGGGTTTAGAATCTGCGTGTAGGGCTTAGGCTTTCGGTTCAGAGTTCAGGGCTTGGGAAAATGACTCAATAACAGTACTGGAAATAATTATACTGATGACAAATATAATGTATTACTAGGATGCCCAGTGAAGGGCTCCATTGGGTAACTTTATGAAGAACCTAGGACTACAAAAAGGGAAAAAGGGCCGACCGGGAGGCCTAGATTCACAGGTGCTAGGCAGGATCACCCGAGTCCTGCAGCTGGGTCCGGTGCTCCTGTTCAGTCCTTGGCATGGTGTGATCTTAGGGGCGGCCAAAAAAATGTGGACCTCTCAAGTATGGTAGGCTTATGTAAGCCCCAAAATACGCTAGCCCAAACAAGGCTTCACCATTTCATCTATGGTAGGATTAGAAAAAACTCCAAGAGGTTAAAGGTTGCATACTCAGCCCCTAAGCTCTAAACAGATCCCTTATAGAACCCGTATAGATCCCTTTAAAGGGTCCCCTAAACCCTAAGCCCCAAAAGGTTAAAGGTTACCCACTCAGCCCCTAAGTGATGCAATGTGAACCGTGAAAGCCATGGGGCCGTTCCCCCTTCCCCAAGCGCTTGAAGGCCCAGAGCACTCGACTTTTCGTCCAGTGTGGTTTAGGGCTTTTTCAAGTTAGAAAAGCAAGGCCTTTCTCAGCACGACATCTGGGTGGTTGTCAAAAATATGGCCCCTTTTTAGCTCCCTATTATAATACGGCACCGTTTATTTAGGGTACCCAAAAAAGGACCTTAGTTTTGACAACCACCCATCTAGGGTTTAGGGCTTAGGGTTTGTGTGGTTCGGCGTACTTTTAAGCCGTTTACCAGCCAAGTTTCTCCCTAGATGGAACACACATGTCCACCTGCAGAGATAGGCAGCGATTATCGGGCCACCCGGCGATCACATGTTAACATGTGAGGTTTTAGAAATCGCAGTTGATATTGTTAACATAGTGATGCAGTGATTGCTGCGCCCCCTCAGCGTCCATATCAGAACATCCGCTGGCTCAAACAGATTTCCAATTGCAGGCCTACTTCTGCTCCGGCGACACCTACCAATGCCCTAAAGTGAAGAAACTGAAACAAGCAGCAAGTCCCCAAACCAAGTATTAAGTCTGAAACACGATGCTCTATTCCTCGTAACCTGGCATTCCTCCACGTGCAGCTCAGCGGCCAGTGGCCAGACATCGGAATGTCCATCGCACACAGGCACAAGCGCACCCAGGTGGGTGAGTTTGGCCGAAGAACGACGTCCGTGAAGACCATAGATTCCCTGATCTTGAGCACCTGCCCAGAGCACTCCAGAATCCTCAATATTGCAGAATATACCTTGATCTGTGGCTGTAGCTAGAATAGGAATTCCTCATGAGGTTTATCAATCCCCGAACTGACTATACCTTGAGGCATGTTATGTTCATTAATAAAATATGAGGAACTCAATTTAGATTTAAAGTACACTCCTGCAATAAATAAAGGCTCCGAAGATCCATTTCCCTAGAATAAGCATCCATTCTCATGATCTGCATAACTCGAGCGCAACCTCAGGAAGTAGGAAGTCTAAACCCTAACCCCTAAACCCTAAACCTTAGAAACCCTAAAGCCTAGAAACCCTAAGCCCTAAAATTCGAGCTGCTTGTTGAAGCACCCTGGCCATCTAAGGAGACCTTTGCCCCGAGCGTCGCAAAAAGGGCTCCCTTGTTGGTATTGGGTACCTCCATAAGGAACCTAGGACTACAAAAAAGGGGAATACAGGTACTACTGGCCATCCTAGATAATTTCCCTGAAGTACCTGCGCCAACAGACTTCCAAGCCTGAAGTCCTGCCAGGTGTTTACGATCAATCTGCCCAACCCCCCTGACCTTCCCCCCCCCCCCCCCAAAAAAAAACTCTGCACCCTAAAACGCCCGACTAATCCTACCCCACCCCTTTCCCCTCTCTCCCCCACCCTCTGAACTTGAAACCCTAAACCCTTAAAACCCTACACCCTGAACCCTGAACCTGAAACATCGCGCAGCCCCCTCCTCCCAGCCACCTTGGCCGCTTCTCTGAAGAACTTTGCCTTGTCGAAGTGGTAGAGGCTGTCGATGGCCTAAGCTCGTTAAGGGCCCGGGGGTTTAAAGGTTCCAGAGACTCCAATATCCCTTAATTAAGGAATATACCTTAAACCATATTAGGGATCCTACGATAATTTAAGGAACATTCCTTAATTAAGGGATATTAAAATCCCCTAAACCCTAGAGATCCCTTAAAGGAACCCTGAAGATCCCTTTAAAGGAACCCTAAGGTATATCCCTTAATTATCGGATATTGGAGTCTCTAAGTCGTCTTCGGATTTGGGGTTTGGGGCTCGGGGCTTCGGCTTACGGGTTTTATGGCTTCGGGTTAGTCCCATGAGCCTTCTAGACCCGTAAAGGGAACTCCAGAAAGTTGGAATATGGTTTCATGGTAGGATACCCTATAATTTACCATAGAGGGGTTAGGATAATCATATTCCAACTTTCTGGCTTGTACCTTAAGGCATCTGAAGCCTGACAATGACAACAACCTGATATGAGAGGGGCCTTAGCAACTAGAATAGGGGTTTTGGGGGTATATTCTACTATGCTTATAATAAGGAGCCCCCGAAATAGTATTGGTAATTATGTAGGCCTCTAGAGTAACCGGAGGCACTTTGGCACGGGATTGGTGAGTCGATTCCTTAACTGATACTGGTGATTCCTCTTGCATGGGAGCCCCCAAGTCACCTAAGTTACCTAAGCAAGCTACAGCTCACTATTAAGCTTAGTTGCTGAGTTCATAAGCCCCCCCAGAGGTGTACACTTTTGGCTTTATAGTGGGTGATATTATCCCAAAAAGTGTAAAGTGTATCCACTCAGCTACTAAGTAAGTGTCTATACAGTCTCAAGTGCCGAGCATACCAGCCGGGCAGATTAACCCATGGCCAAACTGCAACATGTTAAGCGGGACCGAACATGAAAATGCAAAAGACGTGTCGCTCTCTTTTGCTCGGGCAAGGGCTTCGGTCGATAGTGCGAATGATCCTTCCGATGCATGCCCTGACTGTGCTGCAAAGGGGCTCTGGGACACTTTACACGCCCCCTCAGGGCAAATCTCACAGGTTTGGCCTGTCGTGAATTACCTCCATCCGGCCCCCTGTGCAGCATTGGCCTGGATGAAGGCCTTTCTCGATGGCCTCCGCTACAGTGCACGTGCGCATCTGCCGAGCACTGCCGCGGATATTCCGGCACGTCAGCATATGGAATGCATACCCTCTTGCTGGGGCATACAGCACACGGTCCGTCTCATTCATCACCAAGGCTTCGCCTCCTTCACGGCGCTCGGTATCGGACCTGGCACCAGGGGCGATCACCAACGTGCTTCTCCGCATCGCCGCCTTTGCCTGTGGCGTGGCTTTTGGGACATGGCGCACATCCGGGCCAGTTGTAGGATCTGGGCGCCCAGCCGGTCCAGGTGCACCACCTGCCAGGAACTGAGTCACCCTCTGGTCATTGCTGCTGCCTGGGGCGCCATCTCCCAACACGCTTGGTGCCAACACTCGCGCTGCGCCCCCTCGCTCTTGCATCCCATCTGCTCCGGCTGACTTGCGGTGTGAACTTGTGCCTCGCAACCTGCACGTGGGGACTTCTGGTTCACAGCGTCCTTCTGGTTCACGTCGTCCTTCTGGTTCACGTCGTCCTTCTGGTTCGCGTCGTCCTTCTGGTTCGCGTTGTCCTTCTGGTTCGCGTCGTCCTTCTGGTTCGCGTGGTCCTTCTGGTTCGCGCTGTCCTTCTGGTTCACGTTGTCCTTCTGGTTTCGGTTTTGGGCTCGCCTTCGGTTTGCACTGTGCTGGCCTGGGTCCGCAGCTTCCAACGACCCGGGGCCGGTCAGCCGTAACCGGCTCAAGCCCTTTTCTGTTGGACACCTCAAAACGTAGTGTCCAGTGAACACGGCTCCCGGCGATGATTGCCGACAAGACCAGCACCAAACCAATAAAGAAAACCAGGATGCCGGGGTTGCTTGCACAGAACACCGCCACGTAGTCAAGGAAGAGGGCAACTTTCACGAAGAAACCCTCCAAAGTATCATCCCCGTCTGCACTTGAGGGACTGCAGCCTTGAAGCTGCATTGCAACCAACATCTGGGCCAAACGCATGACGCCTCGGCCTCTGGTGGCTCGCCTTGCAAGGTGCTCGTTGTGCTCCTCCTGACCCACCGGCTCGCCTTGGTCACCAACCATGCCGAGGATGAAGAGGAGCATCGCCAGCCTTCTCGCCGCCAGGACCTTCGTCCCAACATCAGCTGGGTTCACCTCAGTGGGGATCGGAGCTACCCTTAGCTCCTTCCTGGCCACGTAGCCCTGCAACCACAAGCACGAAGTGGCCAGATGCTTCACTCGGCCCACTCCGGTCCTCGATGCGATCGCTCGTGCAACTGAGCTGTCGGACCTGGCGACCAACTCCACCTCCTCATTCCTGATGCCCTCGAGGAAGGCCACAGCCTTCCGCAACAGAAGTGCCTCACCGACTGTCTGGGTGAGGGCCACCAACTCTGCTTCTCCAGAGCTGGTCGTGACCACTTTCTGCGCCCTCACGAACGAAAAAGCCAGGGCACCATCCACGTAAAGCTGCCCTGAGCTCAAGCTTTTCCGCGTTGCCTTGTCATTGGCAAAGTTCGAGTCGGAGATGGCCTCGACAATGTGCCGGCCTTCTCCTCCAGCTCGTCGGTGTGGCTCGTTGGGCGCCGGGCCGCCTTCACATCGTAGTACCGACTCGCCGCGCTTGGGTCGCAAGTTGACCCCATAGCCTTGGGTGGCCCACAAGTAGCCGCTGAGGTGGTCAAGCACCTTCTTTGCATTGGCTGTCGGGCTGCTCGCTTTGGAAGCCAGGTGCTGGATCACCACCTGTGCGTCCGGCCTCTCTCCACTGATGTACAGCAGCTTCCCCACAACCGTTCGGTACTTGGTGGCGTCCTCCGGCTTCAGGTTGGGGCTTGCGTCCTCCCCAAACACCAAGTCCTGAGGGCCTGGTGTGGAGCGAACTTTCGGCTTCCCGGTCAGCTCCCATATGTCGTGGTAGAAGCGCACCGCTGGCCTCACCGTGATGCTCCCGTCGCCCTCGATATAATAGCGCCGCTTGAGAAACTCAAACTCGTCACCGGGCTGGCCAAAGGGCCCAGCCACTTTCACCGTGTACTTCTCCTTGAGGTTCTCGCGCAACGGCTCACCGATCTCGGTGTCCCCCGAGGACAGCACATCATCCACATGGAGCTGTGCTGCGAAGCGGCCAGCCAAGGAACGGTATAGCGTTGGGACCTCCACCATGGGCTCCAGGTGGTTCGCCTTGAGGTCCTTGTTGAACTTTTGGTACCATTCCTGCGCACCACGCCGTTGGCCTGGGAGCACCCGGCCAAGTCGCCATTGCTTGTGCTCACCGTAGCGCTTGTACCAGGAAGCTGGGGACGATATCACCACCGGCTCGTCGGCCGGCTGCTCCACTGTCAAGTACGCATCCTTTATGTCGAGCACATGTATGGGTGTGCCCCAAGAGAGTGCCATGAGGGGCACCAGGCGGCCCAAAGGTGCCACAGACGCAGGGGCAAAGGTCTCATCGTCCTCCATGTGCGTGGCCCACTTGTATTGCCTGGCAACCAGGCGGGCTCGCCTGAACCATGTGTCCCCCTTCTTCCAGGTCGTGGCGAAGGTAGTGGATAAGTGGTCGGCAGGGTCGCCTTGGTCGGGGAGCAGCACGCCCATCTTCTCCAAGCGCTCGATCTCATCGATCTCCGCCTGCTCATCTAGGGCGGCCAGCTCCTCCGGGGTGACCTCGGGCGGCATGTCTCCATGGTCGCCGGCCGTGCCCTCAAACTCCTGGTCCACGCCGGTCACCAGGATCTCCTCGAAGTCCTCTGCCACGACGTGCCACTCAGCGTCCACTGTCTCCACAACACGTATTTCTGGTTCGCCCTCAGCTTCGTCCTCGGGCTTGCGTTTGGTCCCGGCCTCTCGTGTGTCAGCTGCTGGGGTTGGCTTTGGCCGCGCTGTACTGCTGCTGGCTTGCTGCTCGGCTTTCCTCTTCACTCCGCCTGGGCTAGCGTCGGCCACGGCCAACAACTCATCCTCTGAACTCGTGCTGGTCGGGTCGCTGGCTGCCTCGTCTTCGCCGGGCCCAATCTCTGCTGAAGGTGCTGGTGGTGCAGGTGGGGCTCCCGGCGTCGGCGGCAATGACAAGGCTGGGGTGGCCGGCACTGAGCCAGCACGTGACCTTGCTCCAGGAGTGGCCGGTGTCGGTGGCGCCAACAGCCCGGCCGGTTCGGCCAGTATGGGAACTCCTTCTGCTCTCGGGGCCTGTCGGCGTTTTGCCTGCCGGCGCTTCTCCACTATGCCGTGCTCCCACGGCAGCCCAAACATCTCCTTCTCGAGGTCCTCTGCCTTCAGCTGCACCTCCGCGGTGCCACGGCGAACAGCGTTGCACTCGAGGTGGCCAAATGTGCTCATAAGCCGGTGGGCTCCATTGTGCGGATTGATCCCGCACCAAACGCCCTTGATCCACTGGGCTTCTCCCTTGCTCTTCCGCAGGACGCGGCCGTAGACCACTTCTCCAAACTCGCACAGCTTCTGCTCAAACACCTTCCCGCCGAAGGCCAGCTCGAACGGCGTCCTGTTGATGCCCGGGACAATGTGGAACCTGTTGTACACAAAGGCCGCGTGGCCCTGCACCCATACACGGAGGTGGCTGCCGACACTGAGTTTCCCGGCCCTGGCTTCCAAGGCCTCCATGAAGCAGTTCCCGAGACGCCTCACAGTTTGTATGGCCCGCTCTGCCGCGCCATTTGCAGCATGATCCCCGACTGGGGTGGTGCGCTGCACCGTGCGCCGGCCAAGGCGCTGTCGTGCTGCCGCGGTGCTCCGGACGAGGGCCTTGATGCTGGGTTCCCCGTCCGATTGGATGACCACGGTCTCCTCGCCATGCAGGCTAACGCTGAAACGGGTAAGCTCCTCGGCTGCCTGCCTCAGCATCCCTGGGCCTTTGTCGGGGCCCGGCACTGACAAGATCATCCGGGTCTGCAGGTCCACCGCCATCATGTTCGTCGGCTCCTGGTGGGCCTCCGGGCTTGGCCGGCTGCCTGCGTCAACCTTCGTGTAGTAGAAGTCGGTCTGGATCACCGGCATGGCATTGTCGTGGGCATTCCGGCGGTGGTGGTCGTCTCGGCTCCGGGTCTGCACGCACGCTGGGCACCATGAAGCGAACGGAATGTGCGTCAGCCGGTGCCTGGCCTGCGTGGCCTCATCTGGCGGCTCCTCTGGCTGCCTCTCCGCCCTCGGCTCTCTGACCAAGTCCTCCTCAACCGCCTTTGCCGCCCACGACCCAATGTAGGACTCGAGCTCCTCTTGCGTTAGGCCCGCCGGTGGTGCACCCATTGGCTCATCATCCTCCACCTGGCCGCTCGCGGCGGCTGCTGCTGGCTCCTCGTGGGCTGCCTCTGCGGGGCCTCCAAAAGGGAGGTCGGCTGGAGAGGAAGGCGACGGCTCATACTGGCTCCTTTCAGAGACTTTGGGTTCCAAACCGTCAGGGAAGCAAGCCGCATCGAACGGTGTCATGTTAAAGAGCGTGATCCTCGCGACCGGCTCCCTCGACACCATGCCATACGGGTTGGCCTCGTAGGAGTAGTCGGCGCTGTTCTCCACCTGCAGCCAGCGGCCATTGTCCGTTTGCAAGAAAGTGGTGCGGCAGCACCAATAGTCTGCATCGTACCATTCTCGGCCGTCAAGTAGCTGCGTGGCGGCTGCTGAGTAGTGCATGCGCCATCCATTGGAGAGCGTGTGCATGCCCTCCTCCCCGATCTTGCTACTCACCTCCTCTGGGAGCTCGATCGCCGGAACCTTTGGCGGTAGGCTCCGGGGCAGTTCGGTCAAAGCCCGAACCTGGCCTTTCACAATCAAGCTGTGGTTCTTGTAGCCCACCAAGGTCCTCCGGCCAAACGGCTCCTCAAGATGCAGCTCGCCGGGCTGGCTGCCCGTCTTGATCTGCCAGCCCTTCCGCAGCAGCTTTCCCACGGCCAGCAATGGGCACCGCACCGGCCCAACCACACAGGTTTCCCTAATCAGGAACTGCTGGCCCGTCACGTCCTCCAGCATGAACTCGCACTTGCGTACCCCGCTGCTGGCTATCACATTGCCCTGGGCGTCGGCCAAGTGCGGGGCGCTGGCCGTGCGCTCCTCCGTTCCCAAGTGCCCAAAACACTCGGGGATCATTGAGGCATCGGCCCCGGAATCCAGGATGATCTCGCACCGCTCGCCGTCAGTGGCTGCATTGCCGGCCGTCGAGATCGCCCCTTTATACTTCAGGAAGGTCACGGCCAGCACGTTGCCCTCGATCACCGGCTCGTCCTCGAAGTCGCTGGCCATATCGTAAACCTCCAGCAGGGGAGCAAAGGGAGGAGTCACCATCCGAACAAGCCGAACACCTTTCGAGCTTGGCCCAGCCGAGCTCACCGAGGGCGCCGCCGTGGAGCCTGTAGAAGACGCCGAGGAGGGTGGCACCGGGGTTTGCGCCTCCATCTGCTCTACCTGATGCACCCTCTGGGCTTTTCCTTTCCCCTTTGGCGCTGGGTTCCAGCAGTCTCGCGCGTAGTGGCCGCGCTTCCCGCAAGCAAAGCACTCAGCTGAGGCCTTGCCTCCTTTGCTCTTGCCTTTCTGCTGCTTCCCCTTAGCGCCTTTGCCCTTGCTGCCCTTGTGGTCGGGGCTGCCCTTCTTCCCCTTGCCCTTCTTGCCGCCCTTCTCCTGGACACGATCGATCTCCATTGGCACAGGCCCGTCTGCCGTGTGCAGTGAGGGCATTCCCAAGGTGGCCCCAGAATGCCATTTGGCAGTGGAGCGCTCATAAAGAAGCACCTTGTCCCTCACCTGTCGGTAGGTCGTGTCCTCCCCCAAGGCCATGTGCAACTGGGCCTGCAACGCCGGCGGGGCTGCCGAGACCAAGGTGGAGATCATGAGGTCCTCCGCATACTTGGTCCCTGAGACCCGCTCGTATTCGCGGATAAGTTCTTCGTAGCGGCCCAGTTGCTCTCCAATGGCCCTTTTTGGATCCAGCCTCGTGCTGGTGAGCTGCGTAACCAACGCCAATTGGCGCTGTCGGCTGCTGGGCATCATCTCCACCACCAATTGTCTCCAGGCTTCATACCCATTTTGGTGGGGAACAGCTCGGACCAACTTGGCCGGGCGATTCCTCACGAACGAGAGCAATATGCAATACAGCTCTCTCGCCCGGACCTGTGTCTGCGGGTCCATGTTGATCATGAGCTTCTCGATGCCAGCTTGGGCCTCCACCCACTCTATCTCTTCTACAAACTTGCTGTCCACGACCCCAAGGTAGGAAACAAAGGAGAACCGCCAGTCCACCCATTGGTCCGTCTCCTGGTCGCGGGTCTCTGGCCGGTATATATCCGGCTTCTGCACCAGGCGAGCCAATTGCTCGCTCCTCCTTTGATGGCTGGCTGCCAGGGCAACATGCTCTGCAGCGGCCACGGCTGCCTGCTCTACCGGCCCTGCGGCGGCCATTGTTGCCGCCTGTTGCTGTGCCGTCACCGCTGCCTGTTGTTGGGCAGCCGCTGCGGCAGCAGCTTGCTCCATGGCAGCCTGCTGCTGCCTCTGCGCCGCGTCCGGCGCTTCCATCGCAACCTCGTCCTCGGCCGCCTCCCAGGTGGATGCCCTCCTGCTCGCTAGTGCGGGGCCAAAGGCCCTGGCACCAACTCTCCAAGAGGGTTGCTCAACAAAGCTTTTCCCGAAGGCGCCGCCGCTGACAAGGAAGACCTGCCGAAAGGAGACAATCCAATCGGTAGAGCCAGCGCAGCCCAATTCCGGCCGATCTCCGGCCCAAACACCCAACAGAAGAAGACAGAGTAGCAGAATCCCACGCCCGGCCGCGGTGGTAGTAGAGGTCGAGCTCGGGCCACCGCACCGGGTTGTCGCAGCCGCAGCTATGCCGCACAAGGCGGGCTTACAGGCCCAAGGGGCGGCTCCTAAAGGTAGCAAAGGGGATATTGGGTCCGGTCCCCGACGGAGTCCTTCAAAGGTCCGCCTTGGAGCACGAAGCTCCGCTACCATGAAAATGCAAAAGACGTGTCGCTCTCTTTTGCTCGGGCAAGGGCTTCGGTCGATAGTGCGAATGATCCTTCCGATGCATGCCCTGACTGTGCTGCAAAGGGGCTCTGGGACACTTTACAGAACAACAATGGCTTGGGCCATGGTGGTTGGATGTGATCTGATAGGAGATGCGGAAAGCTTGAGATGAAGATGCGCATTGCTTGGTGGTGGCAATGGTGGAGTGTTGGTGGTGATGGTCGTTAGTAGCTACTGAACACGATGGTGACGATGATCATGGTGATGCTGAGGATGGTTGCTGCTGCTGATGATGATGGCGATGCTGATATAAGTAACTCTGTGAGTGGTGACAGTGATGATAATGATTCTGTGATTCTGACGAAGAAGAAGAGGACATGATGGTCATGATGACGGTGATAATGATGATGATGTTGATATGGGCGGGTCATCGTGTTCACACCAAAGCCCCGAACCCAAGGTCAACAAGATAAGGGATGCGCATACTACATCGCGACTGCCCAGCGACGGCCTAATCAAACCGACGACACCAAGAACCGCATACCGGACGCGGCTTGGGGGAGCCGAGTGGCCAAGATCTTGTTGAACTCGCCTGGAAGGATGCCTTTGCCCGTTCCAGCTGGTGGTGTAGGGGTTGGGGGTTCGGGACCACGAAACCCCTTGGCTCCAGCTGCTGGAATGATAGGTTCGCGGGTTGCATTGTAAGCTACTAGTTGTGTCGCCGGAGCTCTGAGGAAAGCTTGCGCGTCAGATTTGATGGCGCTTTCGCTTGTGCGACACCTTTCAGGGTAGGTTCTCTTAACCTCACAAGACCGGAAGGAAGCCCGACCTTACAAGATCTAAACCTCTACTTAATTAGTCATGTAGTGCTTGACTAGACGTGTTGTAATGGTCGGCATAGTTGCGTACCGCTCGTGTACATCTACGTACACTCTGCAGAACATTAGCGTGCATGCACATCATAACTCCTTAAGTCTGCGCACGAACCCAAAACCGTCATAGAAAACCTTGGGAATGAAACTTACTTAGGGCTCCCGTATTAGCCTGGCTCCGTTTCCTTCAAGAGAACAGGCGCAGTTCTGCCCAGGGGTACCTGAGCCCCACCTGACGGCTCATAGGGTTTCGAGTTTACCCAGAGGCCCCATAGTAGTTCCTTTTTGGGATTACCTTATAGAGTTCTATATACGAACTCCAAATTAGTTTGGAGCCTTTGGGGAGGGTAGCTGTGTAAGTATGGTTGGCTATAGCCTCTAAGCCACAAATAGTTGTAAGTGTAGTCATCAGAAGAAAGCAATCTTACTTCCCAAGTCCTCTGAGCTTCTTCTCAAGACCCTAAACCCCAAGAAGCAGGCTCTACATGGAGAAGCTTCAAACTTTTTTGAAGTTTTTAAACCCTGAAGCCTTTTAAACCCTAAGCCCTAAATCCTAAATCCCGAATCCTATACCCTAAATCCTACACCCTGAATCCTATAAATAGTAAAACCGGGGTGCGATTGACTCCCGACGCAATGCTTTCAGCCCGAGCCACCTGAGACAGGGTGGAACCGTAATTAGAAGCCGGAGGGCTCACAGAGTTTAGGGTTTAGGGTTTAGGGTTTAGGGTTTAGGGGTGGGAGGCTCAGACTTACCTTTGGTTAGTAGGGAATGGAAGGGGCCTTATAAAGGGGTCTATGAGGGTTACTATAAGGGATCTATAAGGGTACTATAATATAGGGGCCTTAATAATCCTATAACTTACCTTTGGGAAGTAGGGAATGGAGGAATGGGGTACAATTATAACTACTATTACTACCAGTCTTCCATTCCCTACTAACCAAAGGTCCTAGAAGAGTTCAATGATGTATTGGCCGATAAAAGCCACGGGAAGGTTTGCATGTTCTAAGTTTTTTTACGGTTGGAGGACTGAGCCTTCACCTCGAAAGCTACAACCAAAAGACGACCGTAAGAACTAAACACTGAACCCTGAAATCCTAAACTTAAACCGTGATCTAGTCCAGCTTGGAGGAGTTTGAAACCTCAGGGCTCGCAGTAAACTCACGGGTCCGTGTCGAACTTTTGGCATCATGTCTATGTCTCTACACAAAGCCATGAAGGAACGGATAGTCACCCTGCACAGAATCGACTTGTTTGTTGAGCTCTTCAGTTTCCTTTTGTGACATCTTACCCTATGGCCTGAAAATATTCCCCATAGGTACATTGGCCCCGAAGTATATACTCTTTGGGTACGTGGACCCTTAGGGTTACTCTTTTGAGTTCCTGCTTCTGCTGCACTACATAGTAGGACCCACGCTTGTGGGTCCTACTACTTTTTAAGGTTCATGGGTGGAGCTTTGGGAGCGCGGAGCTGCCAAAATGGGTTGAGGGGTTTAGGGTTTAGGGTTTTTCGTTTTAGGATTTTAGGGTTCATAAGGAACAGTAGCCCTCTGTATGGTGCACCCACAACAACCACAACAACAACAGCAGCAACAGCGACAAAACAACAAGAGAGCTAAGCGATGCTAGGGTTCAGGGTTGCTAGGCGTATCAGGGTCATTGGCGTTGTCACGCACGGCACGGCACGGCCAAGCCACGCACTCTGCTGCGAACCCAAGCCCCTCAACCCGAAACCCTAAGCCTTCGTCTCCACGTCCTGGGCGCTCGCCACCTCCTCCCAAAGGGTCCAAGTACTGTTACTAGTAGGTACTTATCGTAGGTATTGAAGCCCCCAAAGTATAGTTCTTGTTTGGGGTTCGTATATAGAATCCTAAACGGCAATCCCAAAAAGGAACTACTATGGGGAATCTGGGTACACTATTACTTGGACCCATTGGGCCTGTCGCTTTGGGCGAGAAAGGCGCTTAGGGACCTCCGGGCGCTGTCGGGCTTCGGCTTAGAGCCTCAAGGGCCTCTGAGGGAGTTGGGTTCAGGGCTTATGGGGTGTATAGGGTTTATAGGGTGTAGAGGCTTTGTAGGGTTTATAGGGTTTAGAGTTTAGAGGGTTTAGAGGGTTTATAGGGTTTACAGGGTTTGCAGGGTTTATAGGGTTTACGTATAGGGTTTCCTTAATTCGTCGGGTGTATAGGGTTTACAGGGTTTACCAGGGTTAGAGGGTTCAGGGCTCAAGGAGTTTAAAAACTTTCCTAGACGGTCCATATATACTACTATCATTGAACAGTCTCCTGGGTCCCAAGAGACCGTTCAATAATGGCAATATATATATATATATATATATATATATGGACCGTCTTGGAAGGTCTTAGCGAGACCATAGTGGTAGTATATATGAACCCCCTGGGTTTGGGATCTGGAGCTTACAGCTTTCTCTTCTGGGTTATGTGGCGGGCAGCAGACCCTATACCCTGGAGATCCCCAACCCTACCGTTTTCAGGGTTCTACCCGTTCATTCGAATGTTAAGGGGCCATAACCGACGACGGGGTCACAGGTGTCCCCTTGAGCAGAATTCTTACTACAGCAGACTGCTCCCTGAAACTGGGCACTAAACCTTCAAACCCTTCAAGAAGCAAGGAAAGTGATCCCACAGCACCGAAACCCAAAACCTGAGCCCTGAATCCTGAACCCTAAACTCCAAACTCTACTTAAACTTCATTCTTGGGACAATGCACTGCTCTGGGCTCAGGCGCGGTCTTAAGGACTCCAGGGCTATACTAAACAGAGAGTCGGCCTGAACCTCTGAACTAGTCGACTGGTCGATCTGACATGGTAGAACGGAGTAAAGCCAAGTCACCTCAAAACCCTGACAGTCAAATGCAAGACCCTAAACCCTAAAACCCTGAACCCTAAACCCCAAAACCCTAAACTCCTAAACCCTAAACCCCCAAAACCCTAAACTCCTAAACCCTAAACCCTAAAACCCTGAACCCTAAACCCCAAGCTGAAAAGCCCTCCAGAACCAAACACCCGACAGCCCAAAGCGACTCCTTATCCAGGCCGACGACACGACGTGGCCCATACTTGGTGCCTCTGCTGTGCCCGGAACCATGCAGTTTGGAGTATGGGCTGTTAGAGGTTTTTAGGGTTTAACGTAATAACCCCCCCAAAACCGACCCTTTTGGGGTCCCATATATTTTGTTGTTCTGTAAATCCTTCGAATTGTGGGTTATCGGTGGTTAAGCGAGGGTTTAGGGGGGTTATATTAAATGTTAAACAAAAAGCAAGCACCCCTAAACCCCATGCGCTAAGCCCAAAGCTTCCGGCTCCTGCAATACGAAAGCCTAAGCAGCAACATAACCAACTAATGTAGAAGCCTAAATAGTTACCAATATTATTCCTTTGGGTTCCTTATGATGGATACAATCTGGATATACTATACAGGGGCCCGAAACCCTATTCTAATTATTGAGGCCTCTATGTTAACAACACCCGGACTGAAACCACATGGAACTCCACCCCGCATTGACCTCAAGCAAGCTGCGAATGAAAGAAAGCTCCGTGCCCCGGCCGCAACCAACGCATAAGACGTTGTCAGACTCCTTTGAGGGTTTAGGTTGGGCAGGTTCAGGTTTTGTAAGTTGGTGCACTTCTCGACTTATGCGTTCAAGGGCTAGGAAGAGGGCTCTAAAAATTAGGATCATATAGATGTTGTCAGACTCACAGGTGTTTGCAGGGTCTTGTAGGTTGTTGTAAGGCCCCACACGATTTAGGGTTTACCTTAACCCTAAATAACCTACCTTTTTAAGGACTTATATAAAGAAACCATTATAGGGAGCCCTAAAAAGGTAGGTTCTTCAGGGTCTAGGTAGGGTTTAGGGTGTTGTGTTTCGGCAACCTCCCAAACCCAAAGCCCGACAGAGCCGCAAAAAACAAAGCCCCACTCTCAAACTCAAAACCATTCAAAACCCGAAGCCCACTGCACAACCCTGAATCCCAAACCCAAGGGATCCTAGGTACTGTCATGGAGGATATGTCCCCAAACGATAATAGTCTAGTAAAATCCTAATATAGAAACCCTACATGCTACCATATATGTACTTTGGACCCTTTGGGAAAGACACCGTCTGGATCGCTCCTTGATGGCTGCTTCCCCGCCGATTACCTCCACCAGCTGCCTGCAGGCGACGGGGTAGTCGGTGGTGGACCGCCAGTACCTTCCACGACGTATCTTCCACTGTTTGGGGAAGACGGGAAGCGCTGCTGTATATAACCCTAAGGGTCCATGTACCCCGGGTTCCTCGAAGGGAACCATAAGGGCTCGTTTAAGGGTACTACTCTAAGGGTTTAGGGCTTAAGGGTCCATGTACTCAAATACTGTCTACATTGGACTTGAAGTAGTCCATACTATTTGGGCACATGCACCCTTAGGGTGAAGGTTCAGATCAGGCGTACGATGTTTAGGGTGTTGGCTTAGGCTTTAACTTTCTCTTGGCTTCTAGTGGCCCTTTCTGTCTGCAGAAGTTTGGGATTTACGCAAGGATGCCATGCCCTATCATACATCTTGAGCAAGACACATAATGTAGGAGCCTTAACAATTGACTAGGGTTTAGGGGCATACTATAGTAAAGGTAGGACTATTTACTAAATTGTCGGCCAGTATATTGCAGTCAATTCAACACAGACACACACTCACACCGACCCTCAAACTCTAGGCTTCAGAGACAATCTAAAACCTAAACCGTTACATGCCCCGAAAGGCATGATGTGCCCGACTCACACAATACCGCTTCAACGCCTCCGAGGGCGGAAGCCCTACAAACCCCATAAACTCGAACATTCCCCAAATTTCTAAGCCAAACCCTAGACAGATTCCGCCCCCTAAACTCCCTAAGACACTACATAAACCCTAAAAACAAATCCGCCACGCGGCCCCAGATTCATCCATCCCGAGTGAGACGAGCCGGCAAGCTGAGAGACGACTTTTTGGATAAGGGTCACCAGGGTTGACCTGCCAGAGGCACCGCGGTTTCGGGTTTAGGGTTTAAGGTTTAGGGTTTAGGGTTTAAGGTTTAGGGTTTAGGGGTTTAAGGGTTTAGGGTTTAGGGTTTAAGGTTTGGGGTTTAGGGTTTAGGGTTTTCAGGTTTAGGGTTTAATGTTTAGAATTTAAAATTTAGGGTTTAGGGTTTAGGGACCGATTCTTGGGTTCGAGGGCTTGAGGGTTTATATTGGTGCTTTAAAAGGCGGCTTTAAAATGCTATTGACTATTGAACCTCATAATCTGCGGTGGTCTGAACAGTAAATGGAGGGTTTCTAAAGGGCGGCTTTAAAATGCTGTTAAACCTCATCACATGACAAGATGGGCGGCCTGAATCATAGGTAGTGCTGTCCTCTTGTAGTCCCTATGAATAGTTCCAGGAAGTTCAATCATTATGGCGCTGGCCTATAAGGTTCCATGGGGCCTTCGAAGGGTTTCTCAATGTCAATGCTTTATCTTAAACAGGTAATGTAGACCCTGATTGCAGGCCTGTAGCCCGCGCAGTAGGGGTATAGCTTTGTAGGAGGGCTTTGTGAGGTAGTCAAATTGGTAGTAACAATGTTTGTCATGAGGATCAAGCGCAGCCTTTTTAACGAAAAACAGGTCTAAATATTTCACACCCGAAAGGAACACATGAATACCCGACCGACCGCTGCGTGGCTTGGAGGCTCCGATTTTCGGCGTAGGTTCGCAGAGTTGGGCTATTCGTCTGCATGGCCCAGAATCAGAGCCTGAGAACTGCAGACCCCAAACCCAAAACCATCCCTAAACCCCAATTCCTAAACCCTAAACTATCCCTAACCCCAAACCCGATGCGCCTGAATCCATGCTGGTAGAAGCCGCAAATGCAGCCCAAGACGAAGCCCGGGGAAGCGACAAAGACCAGCACCGTCCACCTCTGATGTTCTGCCGCACTGTATTCCCAAAGGGTCCATGTACTCATATGTACACACATATGTATACATATATATATATATATAATTATATATATATATATATATATATAATTATATATATAATTATATATATAGAATTATATATATATATATATATATATATATATATATATAAATACATGTGTAAATGTGTAAATGTGTATGTGTAGATATATATATATATATATGTATGTATGTAACTTACATACATATGTATATATACATATACACATACACCTATAACAATTTGAATGTAGTCGTTATGCAGCTTGGCCATTATGTCCCTATTTGGGAACTTCAGAAACTGAAAGCCCACGTATATACTACGAGTGCATGGGTGATTGCCTGGAAAGGAATTACGGGGCTTGGTGGCTTCGGGACCCTAAGCCCTAATCCCTAAAGTTAGAGCTGCGTGGAGTTCAGCTTGGAGGTTGCAGGGTTGAGGGCTAAGGGCTGAGGGTTTAGAGGTTTAGGGGTTTATAAGGGGTTTAGGGTTTAGGGGTTTAGGGTTTAGGGGTTTAGGGGTTTAGGGGTTTAGGGGTTTAGGGTTTAGGGTTTAGGGGTTTAGGGTTTAGGGTTAAGGGGTTTCGGGTGTAGGGCTAAGAGCGATACTATGGCAGGTCCTCTACGAATAAGCATCTCGACTGAGCTCTGAAACCCACATGCACGCACAGAGCCCAGAGAACTTCGTGGGATCGCCGGGCTATGATAAGTCTTTGACATTTGACCTTTGAAGCCAGCATACAACCAAGCCCTAGCGGGGTTATACATCCCCTTCTTGCACTGCGGTCTCCAAAATTCGACACCCCGTTGCTGTTGCCCTGTTCTGTGTATTCAGGCTCCTGAAGCCCGGGCGCAGCAGCAGCTCCGGGACGCTGACGTGCTGGGCGGCAAAGACGCATGTCAGTACAGAAGAGGCCAAGACATCCACGGAGATAGAGATTTGGCAGTCCTTAACGACCGAAACAGGATGGGGGTTTAGGGCAGTTTAGGGTAAGGGTTTAGGGTGCAGAAGTTGGAACAATCAGGGACCAACATCGGGTAAAAGTCGTCCAAATTTTGCAACGTCGCATGCAAGGGGAAATGCTGCTAAAGCAATTCACCCCGGGGCAAACATAGACTATAGTTCTTACTGCCACATCCTGATTCCTCCTTATCAGCACCTTCCGGGTTTGGGCTTGGAATCACAAGAAGCGTACGTGCGTGCACAAGAAGTTGTAAAATTAATTTCCAAGAATCCGACTGCGGTATCGAGCTACGGGTCGAGGCGACGTGGGTCGCAAAGCTCAACATCGCGAGCACAAAGTACAGTGCTCCACGATCCACACGGGGGCCACAGTGGCCGAACTTCGGCACGATCAAGCAGGCGTGCAGGAGCCAAAGCCACCAGCTCAAGCTCCTCCTTCATTTCCGGGTTGATTGGAGTTGGGCTTTCAAAAGCCTTCCCTTTGCCGAAAATTAACTATGCTTACCAAAACAGGACCGAAAAATAGAGAAATAATTGCGGAATGCCCCAGTCTCATGGTGGTGGTGTGGGGTAGCATCCATACGCCTCGGCGAACACGACAACCGTCCCTTGTGCCTGCGACTTCCTCATGCCCAAACCACATGTGCGAAGACTGTTAGACCATATCCTCCTTCATCGTGACTGTACCGCTGAAGGCTGCGACGCATGACAATATATAAAATCATATAAAGTAAAAAAAAAATTGTACTAAAAACCTTATAACATAAGAGGAACCCTGAACCCCGGACGTCTGACTTCTTCTGCCACGCCCAAGGCCAAACATGTGTCAATTCTCACTCCATACCCGAGACTAGGGTTTAGGGTTCAGGGTAACTAGGATGCCCAGCAGCCTAGGAATAAAAAAGGGATCCCTTTTTTCGTATTGGGCAACTTAATAAGGGACCCAGGACTACGAAAAAGTGGAATAAGGGTACTACTGGCCATCCTGGGTAAGATCCGGGATGCAACCGAAGGCCAGGATGGTGAAGCAAGCAAGCGAGGCTGGTACCTGCGACTTGGTTCAGAGTCTGGGGCCATACTGTTGATGGACAAAATCCTGCATTACCCTTTATAAGGAATATACCCATAGTTCCCATAGTTTAGAGTCCTTAGGGTCATGCAGGATGTTGTCCATCAGCAGTATGGTTTCATAGAAAATATGGTCCATGCCTCGGGGCATGCGGTAAGTCCCGATCCCTGCTCGGGTTCGCCCCACATCCAAATCGGCCCGACTTGAAGCAATCTCCGCTTGTTTGTAACACACCCTAATGGCCCGAACGCAAAATGCTGACTGGATGTCTCGGTTTCGGATATTGTCCATATCCCGGTTTCGGATATTGTCCATATCCTTCCTTGTCTCGGTGAACTTTACGATTATTAGGTGCTTAGACCCTTCCTTGCAGATTCTGCTGCAGTGCGCTGGAGTAGCTTCGCTCTTGTTTGCTACCTGAAACCGTTTCGCTGCTGTTGCAGAGCTATAACTTCGAGCATTCCGCATAACTGATGGCAGTTCCTGTGTCAGAGCAACATCACCGTGGGTCGTGTGATTACGTCAAGCTTCGATTCCTGTTGCGGCCGGAGGATGCCTGAATACCCAAACCCGAAACCCTAAAGCCTACATCGGCTTTCGACTGGCCACCAGTCCGGCAGTAGCCTCCGATAAGTAGCACCAGCAACCACCACAAATGCCTAAACTGCTAACCAGAAACCACTAACCCAAAGATTCGGGAGTTTCCGAAAACTAGGGGTACCGTATTTTGGGGGTCCTTATGATAAGGATCCCTATTTTCGGAAACTCCCATTTGGACCCTCTGCTAACCTCTACAGCCTTGCCCTTCAACCCGACACCTGCCCCGAACCCTCAACCTTCGGCCCTTATAAACTAAACCCTGAAACCTTAAAACTAAACCCTGACCCCTAAACCCGAACCCGGAGACCCCAATCCTGGCAGTGCCTTGTCCGCAGGCCGGGAATGAAAAGGAATGAGGCAGTAGCCTGGGTGCGGTAGGGCTTAGGGTATAAGGGTTGACGGTTTAGGGTTCCGGCGTGCAGCATTAAGGGTTGGTTTTCGGTGCGGTGGCTCTTAGCGTGTGGAGGTTGAGGGGCTTAAGGCTTGAATGACCCATGCATATGTGTATATATATATATATATATATATATATATATTGAGTTATATGTGTATAAATATATATATATATATATATATATATATATATATATAAACAAAGGAGTAGAGACTTACACACACATATATATATATATATATATATATATATATATATATATAAATATATATATATATATATATATGGATGGCCCCTCTGGGCTTAGGGCTTATAACGGTGCTCAGGAGGAGATTTCCAGGGCTCGGCACCCAAGTTCGAGACCCCAAACACCGAACCCTACACGGTTTGGGTTTCAGGAGCCTGCCCATAGGCCCCAAACGATTGATGATATAAATCCTGCATGACCCATAATGAGGCATGTACCATAATAACCATAGTTTAAGGCCCTTAAGGTAATGCAGGATTGACATCATCAACCGAAGTAGTCCCTTTTTGGCATTACCTTCTAGGATTCTAAATATGAACCCCCCAAAGGAACTACTTTGTGGCCTTAGGGTTAAGGGCCTACTTGGAGGTTCATGAGTCGTAATAAGTGGGGTTATAAGTAAGGTAACCATCATGACTGTAACCCATATTAGGGGACTTATAGCTCTAACTACCCATGAAGCTCCAATTAGGCCCTTCGGACTACACCCGACACCCTAAACCCTGAAATTAAACTCCACCCCAACACCTCTAGGCAGTGAACCTGACGTACACCTGTGAAGCCCACCCTGTGAAAGCCACAGATTCCCGAAACCCCGCAACCTTCGCTACAACAAGCCTGAGTAGGGATCCTACCTATAGTCTCCATTGTAGTCCTTTGTTTTGGGTACCTTGTTTTTGGAGCCTAGATATATAGTTGGTGCAACCAAAATAGGAACGACAATGGATACTTTGGGTGTATTTACAAATTACTCACACCAAGCATTCAAACACAAACCTCCCAACTGAACATCTCAGACCCCCAAACCTGACATCCTAAACTCCAAAATACCTTAAATAAACCCTCCTAAACCCCAAAGCCTACACCCTAAACCCTAAATCCCAAGCGCAAAAATCCATGGCAGTGCTAGCGGCTCCCAGACATAGCTCCGAAAAGGCCGAAGAGCTGATAGTAGGCAGGGCTTTCCTAGCGCGAAGCTTTGGACGTTTACAGCTTTAGGTGTGTTTGGAATTAGGTTTTAGGGTTTTGATTCTGATTCAGGGTGTGGGAGTTTGCGGGTGAAAAGCAATTCTAGGCTTAATTGCATGGTTTCCCGGATAATAGGATCCCAATTCCACGGTCTATTACTCGAACAGTGCAGGGGCTATGTGTGCGAGCACAAAACAGTGCCGACAATGGCCCTGGGTCGAAACTTAGCATTGACCATGGCGATGGCTTCGAACCTAAATTAGAGTTTAGGGTTTAGGGTATAGGGATATGCTCTAAATCTCTCAAAGCCCTCCGCACCGAGAAACTTTTGCCGTACTGTTCCCCTGACCCTTCTTCGCCACTCTGAACCCAAACCCTCAAACCCTGAACCCTACACGCTACATCCCAAGACCCTACAGTAAACCCTACACCCTAGACCCTAAACCCTCAGGTTCAGGTGTGGTTCGATCGTCCACACCGTGGCTACGATGGCCCAGGTCAGTAGTCTCTGCGAGAGGCCCCAAATGCCGGAAGCTCCTCAGGTCAAACTGCCGGGCGTCAGTACAGGGTTTAGGGTTTAGGGTTTAGAGTTTAGGGTTTAGGGTTTAGGGTTTAGGGTTTAGGGTTTAGGGTTTAGGGTTTAGGGTTTAGGGTTTAGGGTTTTTAGGGTTTAGGGTTTAGTTTAGGTTTAGGGTTTAGGGTTTTTAGGGTTTAGGGTTTAGGGTTTTAGGGTTTAGGGTTTAGAGTTTAGGGTTTAGGGTTTTTTTAGGGTTTAGGGTTTAGGGTTTAGGGTTAGGGTTTTTAGGGTTTAGGGTTTAGGTTTAGGTTTAGGGTTTAGGGTTTAGAGTTTAGGGTTTAGGGTTTAGGGTTTAGAGTTTAGGGTTTAGGGTTTAGGGTTTAGAGTTTAGGGTTTAGGGTTTAGGGTAGTGTACATGTAGACACTTAAACACTGAAGCTTCAGAACTCACCCCTTGCTTAGGGACTGTGGGGCTTGGGACGCCGGATGTTTTGAGAATTTTCGGGGGTTAGGGTTTAGGGTGTTCGAATCTTAGTGTTTAGGGTTGTGGAATTTTTAAGGGTTAGGGTGCAGAACTGCGGGTTTAGGGTGTATTTGGCTCGAGTCGGCTTTGACACTTCGCATAAGGATTTGTGCTGGCGCTTGATTCTGATTGCGAAACCCTGCCCAAAAACTCAACCCTAAACCCTAAACCTTCGAAGGGGCCCCCACCCTGTAATAGTGGTATAATAGGATAGGGCCCTAATATATTCCTTATAGTCACTATTACAGGGTGGGGGCAGCTTCTAACCTGAACCCTAACAATCAGGAGTGCGTCCGACGGACTCATGCCTCGTCGTGAAAAACACCCTACCTGGACCCCCCCATTCTACCTGGACCCCCCAAAGTAGATAAAAGAATGGCCCAAAACCTATAAAAGGCCGTTATTCTACATACTTTTGGGATCCAGGTAACATGCATCGCACTTTCAAGTAACTCACGAACTCGTTACTCGCTCATCGCGCTCAAGCAGTGGGATCCTTCTTAAACTTAAGGACAACCACGCAGATGTCAATAAATCCCCTCTGTCTTATAGAAGCCCAAATAACTACTAATTCGATTCCTTTCAGCTCTTTCTTAAAATCATACTACAAAAAATCCCAAAGCCCCGTTCCCTGAAAAATGCTCTACATTACACTGGTTTCGGGGGATGCAAAGAGTGGGGCTCGGGGGCCATAAGCTTCGGACCCTTGGCCAGGAATGCAGGTTCAGGCTTTGGGGTTGAGGGTTTTAGGGCCTGGATAGGGCTTTAGGGCTGCGGGTGTAGGCTTCCGGGGCAGCGTAGGTGATAAGGCGTCGGTTTAGGGCTTCAGGGGTTGAGAGTTGAGGGTTTAGGGTTTAGGGGTTGAGAGTTGAGGGCTTTCGGTTTTGGAACTGTGATGCTTTGCTTGCGGCCGCTATCGTTTCGCGAATGGCAACAAAGAGTATACATATACATTGAACAAACAGGCCGAGGTTGTGGAGGCCCATGGTATAAGTGCTCCAAAACTGATGGTGCCCAAGTATATAGTATATAGTAGACTCCTGATATGTATAGGCATCTATGGAGTTTCAAGCAAGCCCGCCTTGATGAAGGATCCATTGATGAGGGGTCTTAGGGTCTATTGGGTTTCAGGGGACTTGTCTTCCCAAAGGCTCCAAAGTAGTTGCTTTTTGGGGTTCGTATATAGAATCCTATAAAATAATCCCAACAAGGAACTACCATGTATGGAGCCTCTGGGTAGCTCATTGAGCCCTCATTAGACTTGGGAGCATTGGAGTCTCGGGGATGACGTATAGGGTCTATGCAGGACGTACGGTTTTGGGTTCCCAGAGATCCCACTGCACCTTAATTAATGAATATACCTTAAATCATACTATTAAGGCCCCTATAAATTAAGTATATTTCTTAACTACGGGGTATTGGATTCTCTGGGTTATGGGTTGACAAGCGGCCACCCCAAATGACATCGGCGTATGCGACATCGAAGAGGTTCAAGCCCTCGTCATACCAGGACGTCCACGGGTATGTAATTGAGAAGCGGAGGATATAGAACCTTCGCAGCGACTCCCAAAACACCCAACAAAGAGGGAATGCACACGACTTAAGTGGCTTTGTAGTTTCTGGGTTCCCAAACAGGAAGCACAAGGAGGTCGTTGCACTAGACCGGAGGAACTTTTCTTGCATTGACAGATCCATGCTGTGGAGCTTACCCACTGCTTCCCCTAAAGCCCGAAACTCCAAACCGTTCCTGGCACTTAAGCTGCCCTCCCAGAAAAGATCGCAGCAGCAATCTGCAAGCAAGGACATGTTCTGCATCGACGTGGACACTGGAACTCATCAACAAACTTACAGATAACCGAGGTGTGTCACCCGAAGGGCTCTAAGAGGCAAATATCCCACGGAGAACCCTTTGGGTAGGAACGTGTGGGACTGGCTGCGACGGGGACTTTGCATCCGTGACTTGCAGTGCAGTCTCTCAATTTCTGGAATCAGGTTGAACTGACAGAGCCTTTGCAAAAGCAGGACCCACGACTTGGGGTCCCTTCTAGGGCATGGAGTCACTGAACCGTCGATATGCGGGCTTCACAGCTCTTCAACCACCAGACTCCTTGTGTGCACTCCTACAGTAACAACAAAAATCCCGACCGCAAACCCCTAACCCCAACCTGTCACCCCCAAAACCGAAACCCAATGAACACCTCAGCAGACTATACGTGATGTGTATATACTTGTAGATGTACATACATACATACATACCCCTGAGGGTCCGAGTGCTCAAATGTTGCAAACTTAGCAGAACTTATGCCCAGAACAGAATTAGGTTCTAGCATGGTTTCGGGTTTTAATATATATATATATATATATATATATACATATATATATACATATATATATATATATATCGCGAATATGAATCTAATTCTCAAACAGCTGCTGCCTTGTCACCTCTTTGATCCGGTGCGATTTGGGTTAAGCAAACCCGGCCCAAACCCCCCAAAAAATGAACTCAACAACCCCAGTAAATCACCTGAGCTTAGACCCACATAGTCTATCCAGAGCCCTGAACTGAACAAGAAGCTGTGAATCCCACGAATCAACCCGCACTAGCTGACCCAAACCCATAAACCCACGAGTCACACTTAAGCTTCTAGCTGTGAACCCGCACTAGCTGACCCAAAGCCATAAACCCACGAGTCACAGTTAAGCTTCTAGCTTTGAACCCTCACTAGTCGACCCAAAGCCATAAACCCACGAATCACACGTATACTTAAGCTTCAGCTTTCAACCCGCATTAGTCGATCCAAAGCCTTAGTCCCAAAACCCTAAAGCTTCTCGCCCCAAGCATCGAAGCACCGATGAGCCCTGAAGTGGAGCACCATACATCTCTACATAGATCTAGAGCTTTGATCCAGACCATAAATTATTAATTAGTGCAATGCTCCGTGCATCCTTGCGCTTTGCAAAGCGAAATGGCGGCAACAGCAAAGGTGCACCCCCCACCGCCAATCGATTGTGCGAACTGTGTGCTTTGTGTTGATTGCCTGCACTGCATGGCAGTTCGGCATGCATGTTGTTAAATGTGATGCTGATTGTCGCAGCATCCGAAGCGATGCAGTGTCATGTGCATGTGCCATGAGAGCTTGCATGCAACAAGTCACATTCAGGATAGCTGTCATGCGACAAATCGCATATTGTGGCATTTCTGGTGCCTCTCATTAGCTAGCAGGTTTAAACACCTGAGTTTGTGGGCAGCCATGGGTTGTGAACTCCGACGCCAGTTTACCCAACCCATGAAATATTTCCTGACGGATCCTGGTTGCATTTGGCTGTGCAAACTCATGTTATACCGATGACTTTCGTGCAACATTTGTACATGTCTGACAAAGGAAGCGGCCGAGCTTGTCGCGAATGGCATCAGACCATATTTGGAGCAGCATATGGAGAGGATCAGGTCCACGGATGCACCTAGGCCCTGATCGTGCATACGCTTTTTAGATAGCTGACCTGCAAATATACATGCATGCTAGATCTACTCCGAGCTTCTGCCGAGGCCAAGCAGCTGGTTCGCGAATCCGACGAAGAGAAGAATGGGAGCAGCAAGGTGAGCCCGCATGTACGTAAAAACGGGGGGTTCTTCGTTAATTTGGTGATTCATAATTTAATGATCTGACGACGGAGGTGTCGGATGCCGATTTCATCGCAAACTTCGATTTGTTGAAGATCTTCATTGCGACGAGCATCAATCCCGAATTCGGGATTCCGGTGCTGAGTGACTTCAGAGTGTCTTGTCAGATCCTGCTATCGTCCTCAGTTTGCAGTCGAACATATGATTGAGCATCCTAGGTGGCACTGGTCCATCTTTCCTGTGTTCACAAACTGCATCCGGAAGTTCGCAAGCGGGGAGGGAAACAAGTGGTCAAGGACGTGTGCTCGCCCCATGCTCGTATAGTTGCTGCAATGTTCAAGTTTCGACGACTATGAATTGCTTAATTTTTGTGCTGTGCAGGATTGGGCCTTTGGCGAAGCTGGACGGCTACGAGGGCTGTTGTCGGGTATCTCGAGGGTTACCCAGCGGACTCTGAATGCGAAGACTTTCGGATGCAATTTAAGCTTTAAGGACATCCGGATCCATGCATGCATGTATACACATGAACATGTACATAGGACCGATCAGAGCATTATGCCAAGGGCCCGGAAAACTGCAATCTTGAAGAAGATGTTCGCCCGCCAAATGCAGTGGGTGACAGAGGATGGCGACTGGGTCGACCGGATCGAGGCTTGCATGCACATATTCGTGACGACAAGCTCGAGTTCGAAAGCAACAAATGTTCACGCCAATACAATTCCGTACATTCCGATCAATCGCGATCGTGTGCCAAATTTATTGTCGTATAGTATATATGTATATATACGTGTATGGGGGTTTCGGGGCTTTGTAGGCTGGTTTCTAGGATTTCGGGGCTCTGTAAACTTATTTAAATTTAAAGCTTTAGGGTTTAAGGGGCTTTGTAATGCCTTGGGGGTGCTGCGGCTCTCGTTCTGACCCATCTGTTTTCAGCGATCGCATTTGGCATTCGAGGCTGATGTGGGCCACGATCCCGACGGAGCCGCTGCAGCGCCTGAGAGTGAACCGGACAACGACACCTCGCCCGCCGATGAGATTGTTCCCCGAAGCCTAGAAGCCGCAACTGGGTTTAAGCTAGCAGCACCCTGAACTTTGTCTTTAGCTTATAGTCGTTCTTGCAAGTGAGTATGAAAGCAATGTAAGGAGCTGGACAACGAGATGCACCGCCTGCTGTCGTCACAGTCCATCAGCAAGGATGGGGAAGACATTCGGGACTGCGAGCCCATGTGTGTCGCTAGACTTCAATATATCGGCCGATGCATGCTCATGCAGTCATGGTGGTGGTACTGGCTAGCTAGCGATCCCAGGATCTGTCAGTCGAAGCTATGCTCAAGGAGATGGACATCAGCGATGACGACTTTGCAGGGCCCGAGGTTGCTAGATTAATTTTGTTTGCTCATTCGCATGTATCCCGTCTGAGAAGTCCGACATATCTACAATTGTGCATGCTTGCTTAAACCAAGGATGTGCCACACCCCTCCGAAGTTTTCACGCCAAAGGAATTGGAAGATTTCGAGAAGGAGGTACATGTCCCGGGACATGATTGATTATCTTGCTTTACTTGTATCTATCGGAAACCCTATCTAGCTATTTATTATATATGTACATAGCTAGCTAATATTAAAGCTCAGTCTGACATATCTACAACGGCACTGTGCATGCTTGCAACAAATCTAAGGTGCCACAGCCCTCCGAAGGTATCACGCCAGGGGAATTGGAAGACTTCGAGAAGGAGGCTTCTGTCCCGGGACATGAGTTAATGATCATCTCCAGCTTCAACCCCCAATCCCGAAGGTTACAAATAAACATATAATGAGCTGTACATGTGGCCTATAGTGCAAGTACTAAGCCGAGGGACATCCGCACCCGCTTGTGCCCCAATTGGCTGCAGCATCGAGGCTGAAGATCTCAAGGACGAGAAGGAGAACGCCAGTGGGGCAGCTATGGGCTGGAAGGCGACCTGCAAGCAAGCTAGCTGGCCCCTCCTATGTGTACAAGTACCTAGTTGTTACCCCAAAAAAGCATCTAGCTTAAGTCGTACATGCTCAGCCCTAGGTTTGCCAATAGTTGTAGTCCACACTAGTCGCATGCATCCCAGTTCGGATTTCAGGATCGCGATCGGAAAGCTTTGGTGCCGAACGATTTGCCGGATGAGCTACTAGAGCTTCTTAAGCCTCAGAATGCTGACGAGATTGATGCGAACTCCACCCTCACGAAGCAAAGGGAGATCAAGCACACGGCCAAAGCAGAAGCAGCAGCAGCGAAGGCCAGTCTTAACTCAACAATCTGCATTCATGATCGATATCATGATCTAGAATACTCTTTTCTCTTTGCAACTGCTAGTACAGTGCAGGTTTCTGGAAAAGGAAAGGGCCGAGGCAAGGGGAAGAAGGGCTTGAAAAGGAAGGCTACTGAGGCTGAGCTGAAGGAAGTCAGCACCCCGCCGCCGACTGAGAAGGAGGCTCCAGCAAGTGACCCGCTCCAGAAGAAGAGCAGGGGCCGGCGAGGGAACAAGCAGGCCAAGGCTGCAGCAAAGGAGTTCGCAGACGATGAGAAGCATGAGGACGCAGCAGAGGAGGTCGCAGACGATGAGAAGCAGGGCGATGCAGCAGAGGAGGTCGCAGACGATGAGAAGCAGGACGTCGCAGCAGCAGAGGGGGTCGCAAACGATGAGAAGCAGGACGTCGCAAAGAAGCCCGTCAAGACACGTCGGGGCAGAAGGTCCGGGAAGAACTTGACTCCCGAGCAGTTGGAAGCAAAGCGGGTAGCCATGGAGAAGTCCCAGGCCGTGGCCGACAAAAACCTTGTTACGATCAGAGCCATGGCAAACCAGCACCCGGAGTTGCAGCCACAGCTTGGGTTCACAGCCAAGAGACTTCATATGCATTCATGACGGTGGCAGTTCATGTTGATTGTACATGTACTTATGTGTTTTAAACTTGATTCTCGAGTAGCCTCATGAGTCTAAGGAGCTTTACAGTTTGTCCACCCCGTGGCGAAGAGGACTTTCCAGAGATCAATCCTATCACTGTTGCTTTGTACACCGGTTGCTACTATGTGCAACGATGTGTCAAGAAAGCCGATGCCGAAGCATATGCTGCATCTTGCCTGTGATTACAATATAATATGTATAGCTAAGCACAGCAAAAACAACAAACATATTGCACGTCGACACGATCGCCTCCCAGGTGAACATTGACAAAAAGAAGGGGTCCACAGTGTCGTGGCTGAAGCACGGCGGTGCCTCTCGGGCGAAGCTCGACAGCAGCAGAATATCAGTACGATCATGTCGGCGAACTAGCGAGAGTAACAAGCTGCTTCTGATTGAGGTGGCTCCTGGCAACCTTCCTGGCTGGCTGGCATGGAGATGTGGATCCGCTCGACGAGCAGTGTTGATTTCATGGATGGCGAGTCTTAATTGCATTCTGAGGTTTCTACCCGTCGAGCTGAGTGAGAGGTTTCTATATAGTACTTGGGGCTCGGCTTTGTAATAATATGGGGCTAGCTAATTATAGGGTTCAATTTAAAGCTATATTGCCAAACCTCGAACCTCGAATTATTCTCAGCTTAGAGTCGACTGATTTTGGGCGGATCGGTGATGGGGGTTAAAGCTGCTAGCTCCATTGCATTGCATAGGTGGGGTTGCATGCCTGTTCTCGATTTTGAGATTAGGGGCTGGGTGAGCATTTGTACATGCATATATATGTACATGATCAGTGACACGTAGTTAACTGCAAGTGCAAGAATCCGCAGTGCATGTACGAGGCCAGGCCTAGTTGCACTTGTCATCAAACTTTTGATGTAACCTTCAGGGCAAGGGTCTACAGCTCATGCATGATGCACAGAAAATGTATGGAATTCGAATAACCCGTGTCCGGTATAGTGTACGCAGATCTAGAGATCTAGAGCATGTCGTGTTCAATTAAAGCGACAACGATCAAGCATCTTCGGGGCCGGATCCGAACCCTTTGTTGCCCACGCCCCTCGTCGCCACTCCAGGATGCTAGCTGGACGTCGAAGATCACGAGCGAGGAAGTCCAAGTGGGCTGTTCCTGACACCGCAAAGCTTCAACGTTTTCAGGTTACGAGCCTGGCCATACAGTGCTAGTGTGCTGTGCAGTGCAAGGGCAAGGGTCTGGCGATTACATTGTATACTCGTGTAAATAGTTGGGGCTAGCAATATATACACAACACTGTTCTTGCTCGCAGCAGATTGGCTACCGGTACCAGAGCCGAGTGTTGGTTTATCAACATGCATCTGGGCTGCCACTTTAGCCACTTCTTAGGCACACCTGGGAAAAGAAATCGTAGGATTACTTTTACATTATACATGTACACTAGCTAGGTAGTGACCGGGTCCAAGATTCAGCTCGATCAAATATTCTTGAAGCGCCTAATGCAGTGGTGGCAGTAAATTTGAAATTGCAGCATTGGAAAATTCAATGCAGCCATAGGACTCGCAACAATCCCCGCAAGCGGAACAGAATAAAAAGTCGGAGCTCGAGACCCCAAACCCCAAGGCCCCACGACCCTAAACTTTATCTAAACTCTAAATCCCTAAACCCTGATGCCCTTAAGCCCAAACCCTAAAGCTACCCTATAGCTAAACGAACCATAAGCCCTAAGCCGAACCCTACACCCTAATTCCCCATTGCAATTGTCGTTTGGCTAATGATCTTGATTCGGTGACGGATCATGAAACGTGAATGGCTCAAAGTCTTGAAGGCCTGTGGTCGATCTACTGCAGTAGCCTGAAATCAGACGACCTCGATAGAAAATGGGTTCCTAGTACGGCTTCGGGTTTAGAGGTTGCACCAGGGTGCATATTGACCATGTGGCCCAGCTGTCTGCCATTCAGATTCAACCAGATGTCCAGAAGTGTCATCTCGAGGCCTCCTGGTGTGCAGGAGTATAATTGACGAAAGGGGTGTGTTGGTTGGGTTGCTCTTTCCAGCTATATTCATCACAGGTTGATCCGGATATCGGTAGATGCGGTTGATGATATCCATCCTGCATTTAATTACCTATATATAGAATATATTGCGGAGCTATATATTTTATAAGCTATAAGGTTATATGCAGGATGTATATCATCAACCGTAGTTGCAATATTCGGAGCACGGAACGGTCAGGGTTAGTTTTTCGGTTTGTACAGAAGTCGCCAGAACAGTGGTGGTGAAAATGATGGATGCTAGTGTAACTCGTGGTCAGGGAAATTATGATAGTTAGGTTTGTGCGGACCTGAACCCTAGACCGCTACCCCTAAACCCTATATGATGATCACGATGATGTTGAACTCGTTCATGATGATGGAGGGGCCGGGTGCATATGGGGGCACCAGATAATAACAGATCGCAGGCCTATAAGTCCCTGGAAGATGTAGCAACATGGCAAAGACAAACATGCACGCATACGATCGAATGTACTAGTACCTAGTCAGTATGCACACAGACGAAGATTTGCATATCCCCCAATACCAAATAAATTTGATTGATGCTGCCTGAACACCAGTGCCTGAACACCCGGCGAGGGACGATGAAGATCTGATGGCTTCCGACAGCTACCAGATGAAGTCGCCAGGCACTTTGCATGCCTTGGATCAATACGAGGTTACTTGTTCGGACTTCGGGATTTGGTGCTATTCGATAATTAAAAATAAATTTGATTGATGGTGCCTGAACACCAGTGCCTGAACACCAGTGCCTGAACACCAGGCGAGGGACAATGAAGATCTGATGGCTTCCGACAGCTACCAGATGAAGTCGCCAGGCACGTTGCATGCCTTGGATCAATACGAGGTTAGTTGTTCGGACTTCGGGATTTGGTGCTATTCGATAATTATAAATATATAGCGGGGCTCTGGAGTTTGAAGGCTTTATAAGGGCTTGTTCGAATCAGGAATTTTTGTGCTAAACGCCTGGCACACCTGCTGCACTCTTCAGCAGTTCTGTTACATTGTCAAGCTTCTAGAGTAAACCCTAAACCCTACACCCTAGCACTACAAACTTGCGAGAACAACCAGCCTAGCCTCACACCCCAAAAACTCAAGCCTGCAACTGAAATATTATCCCGAGACCCCAGTCCAAGAGCTGCCCTAGGCTAATTAGACTTATATAGCTATAGCTATCACATAACAACCAAACCCGGATCGGAGGTTCAGCCACGGCTTCGTCTCCGAATCCCGCGAGGCTATGTGGAGGTTTCTTTTAGGTTTTGGGCCCCGGGTCAGAGTTCTTTTTGGGTAGAGGTTTACGGTTAGTATTTATAAGACCGGGATGTAGGCTGTGGTTTAGGGTTATCGGCAAGGTGTATATAATGCATTTGGCTAGCTGTTGGGATCTTCGAAATCGGGTCCTAGTGACTAGGCTTTGGAGTTGCCGTCATATTATGATTAGGCTTGAGGTTATGCTAGGGTTTTAGGATTATTTTTTATGCTCTGGCGATAAGCTTCGGAATGGGCTGGCATCTTAATGGGATGGCTGAATTTAGCTATTAGGCTTGGGTTGATGCTAGGGTTTTAGGATTTTTTTATGCTCTGGCGATAAGCTTCGGAATGGGGTGGAATCTTAATGGGATGGCTGATTTTAGCTATTATGCTTGAGTTGATGCTAGGGTTTTAGGATTTTTTTTAATGCTCTGGCGATAAGCTTCGGAATGGGCCTATGGCATTTCAATGGGATGGCTGGAATTTAGCTATGGGCTTAAGGGTTCACAATACACTCAATAGTTGCTTTAAAGTTGGCACAAACTTCTTGTAGTATTTCAACAAGTTAAGGGGGTATCAATGATTAAGTAGCATCACCAGGCTTCCATTCTTGCTGTGGTTTATCACAATAATATTTCGAGGGCACTTGTGCAGTGGACTGTGTACATAAAAGTTCAGCTAGAGAGGTGCGGGATGGCAGGTGATGAGGAGAAAGCTGGCCAGGCATAGGCAGGGAAATTGCTGGCGGTATGCATAGAGGCAAATAGGTAGGTGGGTAGAATCGCAATAATTATAGGCAGGTGGGTAGGTAGGCAGGATACGAGGTGACTGGACTGGACACTGGGCTGTTCCCAGAGCTTTAAACGAGCCCGGGACGAGCTGGAAGCTTATGCGGGGCCGAGCCAACTGTGGGCAGACACGGGCGACAGACCACCGCAATCAAAGTCGCAGCTAGTCGCTTTCGCAGTGGCTTTAGCAATTGCTTTCGACGTCTACCCCTTCGCATCCCAGCCTACAAGGGCTGAGCAGATTTCCGCAGTTGCGGAGGAGTGAGCCACTGCTGGCACCTGAACTTCAAGATGAAGCCGGGCAGCTTCAAGATCAAGCCGGACAGACCGGCCCCTCCCCCCCCACTCCCCTAAAGCTTGTCACGAATCTTCGTAGGAATTTGTGCATCATCTACGTACTCGATCAGATCACTGCTCCTCGAGCAACCCATCCAGATTCTATCGAAGTGTAGTGGCAAAGACTGTAATAAATCCTGCAAATTTAGTTAGATATAGCTATATCATGGAGTACGGTGGCAACCCTGAACTATGGATCCTATATATCTAGCTACAGCTTCTGCGAGTGCATACCGATCTGTATATACTTATAAAAATAATTATCTATATAAAATTTACATGCCCAACCCTAATAGTTGTAATTTCCCAGATCGAGTTCCAAGTGTAAGACGAAGTCCAAGTGCAAAGCTAGAGCGCCGAAACCCTAGCACAAAGCTCCAAGTACGATATACGAGTTTAACTATTATAATTAATTATTATATATAATGTATAGGAACGACATATTAGATCACATCAGGTTGGACCTAGCCATAGGCTAGTTTTAGTTTATGTGTATATAGTTCGAATCATGATCCTGTATTAAGAGCCAAGGATCCATGTAATCATGATTTAAAGTATACATCCCAAAATCCCAAACCCTAAGGACGAGCTCGAACTACGGCCCCTAAACCCTAGATCCACACTTGCAAATATCCCTAAACCCTGAACCCTCGACCCTAAACCCTTCAAAAAGAATAAGAAAGCCCCAAAACCCTAAAACCTCAACCTAAGTATACGTTATATTACGTATACTCGCAATTGCCCAGCTTCGCAGGTGGCAAGCTTGCTGCGATTTCGCCGATACATAGCTGTAGCCCATCGATGCACCTGATCAAGAGAAGGGTTACAATTAGGAATTGGAGTTCGGCTGGGGGCTGGGTTCTGGGTTGAGGCTTCGGAGCTAAAACTTCCGTGTTGGGATTAATGAAGGTTAAAGAGTTTCGCTTGGAGTTGCTTGGGGTTTTGAAATAGGTTGGGGCTTCAGTTGGTGTTAAAAGTTCCGTGTCGGGATTAAGGTTGAGGGTTTCGTCTCGAGTCGGGATTAGGGTCTGGGTAAGGTATTAGGTTTCGGGCTGGGACTAAGGTTCGGGTGATTATTATTATCTTCCTGCTTGGCCAGTACGAACCTATAGGTTGTGATTAAGGTATTTCGGGTTCGGGATTCAGGTTCGATCGGGTTGGGATTAGGGTGGGTTGGGTTCGGAGTTGGGATTAGGGTTGGGTGGGTTCGGCTAGGGTTGTGATTAAGGTATTTAGGCTTATTCGGGTTCGATCGTTTTGGGATTAGGGTTGGCTGGGTTCGGAGTTAGGATTAGGGTTGGGTGGGTTCGGCTAGGGTTGTGATTAATATTTAGGGTTATTCGGAATTCATGTTCGATCGGGTTGGGATTAGGGTTGGCTGGGTTCGGAGTTAGGATTAGGGTAGGGTTGTGATCAAGGTATTTAGCCTTATTTGGAATTCAGGTTCGATCGGGTTGGGATTAGGGTTGGCTGGGTTCGGAGTTAGGACTAGGGTTGTGTCGGTTCAGCCAGGGTTGTGATTAAGGTATTTTACATAGGTTTGGGATTCAGGTTCGATCGGGTGTTTGGATTATGGTTAGGAGTTGGGATCAGGGTTGGGTGGGTTCGGAGTTGGGATTAGGGTTTGGGTTCGGGTTCCGTTGCCTGTACATATACGGTATATATACGTATAGTTATATATACATGGGGCTAGGGGTTCGGGCTCAGTATATTAGATCTACGGCTTGGGATATATAGCTGGCGAAGACAGATGGGCTACGATGTTCAGGCCCATGGCAAGACCCTGCTTTGGAGCAGTAGCTGTCTTTGTAGTAGGAATAGGGTGTGCTCTGCAGCATGCCACGTATCCGGATGTTCTACGGAGCGAAGAAATGTGGTTCTGCATGCTGCATTCGACACTGATCTTCCTTGTAATCCCCACAATTGCAAAGGAGAAGCCACTTGTGTTGGGGTTTTGAGACACTACCGCATCAGGTTCTGAAACCTTTCCTAATAGGGTTTTACATTCCCTATAGGTTTTGAGCGTAAATGGGCGTAACTTGGCGTAACTTGGGCGTGACTCTATATGCTGAAAGACCTTGTCTGGTGATGCCTCTCACATTGTAGCCGTGACTCGCCGTAACTTGCCGTAACTTTGCATAACTTGCCTGTTGGCTGCCGTTGGGCTGAAACCTTTCAGGACAAGGTTTTTCTGTAAAGCTAGAGCGCTCTGGCTTTTGGCAGCCTTTTGGTGGATACTGATGCCGAGCTTAAGCAAATCTGCTCGGAGCGAGCCCTATCCCGCGAAGACTTCGAAGCCGGCCAAGGTTTCTTGGATAGATTATAAATTACCTAGTATACAAGCTACAAGTTCTGAACCAAACTTCTGCCCAGGCTCCATCCAGATCCTTATCTGGTGCAGACCTGAGTGTGGATGAGGAGGTCAATGCGGCTTTGGGCAGAGGCAAAGGGTTTAACTTCGGGTCGGCATTCGTTGGATTCTAGATGTAATTTCTAGACTTACACTTGGAGTTAGCATTAATGTGTGGGTACCCTGCTAGGAGGCAAGGCTGGTCGCTCCAGGGCATGTACTCCTACTCCGGCAAGGGCACCCGGAACACCAAGTTTGGGTGCTTCTATGCAGCAGCAGACAGAACGGCCGGCAGCAGCACAATTCTTGAATGGAACACCCATCAAGAGCCCTCCTATGAAGAGAACCAAAGCTCATGACCTGCCAGTGCGGAAAGACAGTGAGCTCTCGATCGCAAGTTCGGCATCGCAGCAGCTCCCCCGACCGCCCACTTCTAAGGGAGGAAGCTTCTCTGCAGTATGTGTTTCATCTTTCCCAGCTTAGGCTTACTTGGTTTTGCATTGGGGTGGTTTTGGATTCAGCAGGCAATATTCTACCATTAATATAATCAAGAGTTAACCATATGGCAATTCCTGGGATTCACCTATCTAATTAGATAGGTGAATCCCAGGAATTTCCATATGGTTAACCTAAATTATTAATAGCTAGCTATATTCAATAAACTATAAATATGTACTGCCAATATCGCTGCTATATACATGACACATGTACATGTGTAATCGTTTTGAAAAGATTGTGTGTGCATGTACCTATATTTGTGCTTATTGCATGCATAGCTCGTGTACATATATCATGATGATAAAACTCACGATCCATGTATGCATGCTGTGTTGGAAATGTATTGGCCAAGGAAAAGGACCGATCAAACATATGGACACCCAGTCGACAATGCCGTGGACGGCAGCAGACTCCCAGGACTCGCCGGCTGGTGTTCCCAGCCTTGTGCTTGCTGACTTGCTCGAGCTGGGCAAGGATGAGTTGGGTCGTGCTTTGTTTTTCAAGAGCCTCCGGCTAGGGCCGGGTGCATCCGCTTTCCGGGAGTTCGTCTTGAATGGCTTGTGCTTCATTGATGGCGAAAAGATGATGATGGAGGATGCTGCAGATGATCCGAAGGGCTTTGCAAAGCTGCAGCATGTGCACGATGTGACTGCACAGTTGATCAAGGATGCGAACGAGAAAACCCGGGCTCGGGACAACTTCCTTGTCGAAGGCTACGAGAAGGTTCTGACATCTGCACAGATGTCAGTGGCCAAAGTGAAGGCCATGGCCGACAGGCTTGAGGATAAAGCCAAAGCCGAAGCACAAAAGCAAAAGGCTGATATGTGGTTGAGCAAGGAAGTCGCTGCACTTGACAAGCGAAAAGCAGACCTGAGCCTTGCTGCGACGAAGGCCGCATCGTTTGCTGCAGGGAAAGTGCACGCACTGATCAGCCACCTAAGGAGCATGGGCCTGTTGAGTCACCACTTTGTTGAGCACATGGAGCTCTGGTCGCAGCTAGACAGCACTGATGCTAAAGCTCGATCGGTTCGTAAGGAACTGAAGACAAAGGAGGTGGATGAGGTGGCACCTGTGGTGCTGTTTGCCGCTGAAAAAACGGCTGCGATTTCGGCCCCGGCTAGCCACCCAGATTCGGCCCTTGAGTCTGTGCCCGAACACGAGCTTCAAGGCCCCCAGGAGTCGCTTCGAGATTCTGCCCCAGATCACAAGCTTCAAGGTTCTGGTCTTCAGAAGTCGGTTCGAGATTCAGCCCCAGATCGCGAGCTTCAAGGTTCTGGTTCCCAGGAGATGGTTCGAGATTCAGTCCCAGATCGCGAGCTTCAAGGTTCTGGTTCCCAGGTGTCCGTTCGAGATTCAGCCCCAGATGACGAGCTTCAAGGTTCTGGTTCCCAGGAGTCGCTTCGAGATTCAGCCCCAGATCGCGAGCTTCAAGGTTCTGGTCCGCAGGAGTCGCTTCGAGATTCAGCCCCAGATCGCGAGCTTCAAGGTTCTGGTCCGCAGGAGTCGCTTCGAGATTCAGTCCCAGATCACGATCTTCAAGGTTCTGGTTCCCAGGAGATGGTTCGAGATTCAGTCCCAGATCACGAGCTTCAAGGTTCTGGTTCCCAGGAGATGGTTCGAGATTCAGTCCCAGATCACGAGCTTCAAGGTTTGGCTGTTCCGATTCTACGTGCTGATACCCGGGGGTCAATGGCAGATTCCGAAATTCAGCTTCGGTATGAGCTTGAAGTACTTGGACGTGGTAAGCCGCCAGTGTTAAGCATGCCAGCAATTCCAGATCCTATTCAAGAGACGCTTCGAGATTCAGCTCCAGGCCTGCTTCGAGGTTCTGGTACACAAGAGTCACTGACTTCGATTGGCCAGGAGTCGCTTCCGGGTTCAGCCTCACTCCTGCTTCGAGGTTCTGATACCCAAGAATCATTCGATTCGCTAGATGCCACGCAGGTGCAGTGGATTCAAAGATGTACTAAGCTGTATCTACATACACACACGAGGCAGGCACATTATACTATGGAAAATAACTAGCAGTTGTATTCTGCATGCATACATGTATACATGTACAGCCAACATTGATCCCAAGCCATGTGCTGAGCGCTGGGTGTGTAGATATGTAATACATAGCATATATTAGCACCTATACTAGTTAGGCAGTATAGCAGAGCAGTAGCGGGTAGTAGTAGCTATATAGTAAATATCGATAGTAGTATAACTACTAGTCGTATAGTAGTAGCTAGTATAGTGGTAGTAAGTAGTACTTAGTAGTAGTAGTAGTAGTAGTAGTAGTAGTAGTAGTAGTAGTAGTAGTAGTAGTAGTAGTAGTAGTAGTAGTAGTAGTAGTAGTAGTAGTAGCTAGTAGTAGTAGTAGTAGTAGTAGTAGTAGTAGTAGTAGTAGTAGTAGTAGTAGTAGTAGTAGTAGTAGTAGTAGCTAGTAGCTGTAGTAATAGTAGTAGTAGTAGTAGTAGTAGTAGTAGTAGTAGTAGTAGTAGTAGTAGTAGTAGTAGTAGTAGTAGCTAGTAGTATAGTAGTAGTAGTAGTAGCAGTAGCTATATAGTAGTACTAGTAGTAGTAGTAGTAACGTAGTAGTAGTAGTAGTAGTAGTAGTAGTAGTAGTAGTAGTAGTAGTAGTAGTAGTAGTAGTAGTAGTAGTAGTAGTAGTAGTAGTAGTAGTAGTAGTAGTAGTAGTAGCTAGTAGTTGGTCGTTTAACCTGATCCCGAACTCCAACCCTGCTCAGGTGCCTGGTGAGCCGAAGTTGGTGATCGACTGCGATGAATTGGATGATGACGAGCTCGTTTTGCAGCTCGAGGCTACCGCATGAGTGATCGACTAGCAACTGCATTATCTCGAGTTCTAGACCTTCGGGTGCACGATCATTTTTATATCGGCTCCTATTTAAAGCCCGGCCCAAAACCCCAACCCGAAGTCCTGGACTGTGGACCCTGAATCGTTTTAACACTGAAGCACTAAAGCCTGAACCCTAGCCGCAAACCCCCAACTCTATTGGCCCCCCTGCAGGCCATGTTGCTGCAGACCAAGCAAGAGCCAGGGCTCGATGCCTCAGCACATGCGAAGGTCGAGGCGGCGAGCCCCCCCCGCTGCCCAGGTGCAGCAGACGACCCCTACATGGGAGTTGTGCTGACTGTGTCTCCTGTTAAACCTTCGGGCACTACAGCGATCGCGACAGTTGGTAACCGCAAGGACATGCAATCGCAGAATGAATGCCTAGCCATTGACAAGACCTCTATAGTGTAAGATGCCGTCATAAACCTTCCAACTTTCTCGCTTTTACCCTAAACCCTAAACCCTAAACTTTACCTAAACCCTAACCCCTAAACCCCTAAACCCCTAAACCCCCTAAACCCCCAAACCCTAAACCCTAAACCAAACCCCTTGCGAGCACTTAACCTGCAGCATCATTGTTCAACTCCGCAGGATGAAAATGCTGGCCAGAAGCCGCCGCTCCAGCTCTTGCAAGCTGATGCAGATCCTGAAGATGAAGAGGATGAAGAGGCTAGGCAGGAGGACCTTGCAAAAAGAGCAAGACGTGCACGAATGATGAGGTCATTCAATCGTGTCTTGTCTCAACATCAAAACATATCAGATCGTTTGGCTAGTGAAGTTTTTATGTGGAATCAATCCCGAGGTAGCGATGTTCCCACGGAGATCCTTCAGAAGGCCAAGATTGCTCAGAGGAGCAACTTAATTGCACTAGGGGCTCAAGCTGTGACAGTGCAATGCAAGGTTAATGTATGTTATATGCTCATGGTCACTTAGATCGGAAATACGGCGAGCTTCTGGAGCTCTTTGCTGAATGTGGAGAAAATTGGGCTCCATGCACTATCACTTCTACAACCTCTACCGACGACAAGAGGTCTGTTCAGGGTGGACAGTGCTACAAGCGATTCAAGGATTTGCTTGCCGAACACGGCAAAGAAAACGCAGAGCGACTTAGGGCGGAGAAGAAAGCCAAGCAATCTGCCCTGGGTGATGCTTACGAAAATGTGCCGTGGTGGTACGCCCACCCTGATTTCGCAGACCTAGAGGAGAACCGCTTGAATTACACGTATATTAGGGCTTTGGGGTTCCGGGGTTTAGTAATAATTAGGGTACCGGTTGAAACTTCCTAATTATTACAAGGCCCATGCTACTGCAACTAATTTCGTAAAACCGCAAGCTTGCTGGGCCAGGACTACGAATTGTTTCTGGTCTTTGATGAAGCCAAAGTATCCTCGACGGCAACACACCGGACCCAGAACGAAGTCAAGCAGGACATCACATGTGGTGGGAGTCTTGGTGCCGAACTCCGGTGTCTTGCTTTGCATTAAGCCGAAGGACCTACCCCAAAACCTCATCCAAGTGTCTGATCATGAGCAATGTTGTAGATCTTCCGGGTGTGCCTTTGTTGTGTCAGATTAGTTGTTTATTTGTGATCATGATTATTATAAACTAGCCTACAAGGCTGGTGGCTTCAGGTGCTTGGCATTGACAGATCGAGTTCGGCTTTTTGTCAGATCCAAAATGTCGTATTCGCTCTTTCTTCCTATCTCTCTTTCTATATCTCTCCCTCTCTCTCTCTCTCTCTCTCTCTCTCTCTCTCTCTCTCTCTCGTCTCGCTCGCACTCCCATTCCCCTGTTTCTCTGTAGCCGGTCGCCGCCCAAGGATTCTGGAGTGGAACGGTTTAGGTTTTAAGGTTTAGGGTTTAAGGTTCAATTAGGATTCTTCAGACCATGGTTCGAGCTCTGCAAAGCAATTTGTATCGCTAGCTACAGTATCCGAGCCTGATATAGATGTGCACGCTAGTCTGCCGGGTAATTGATGAAGATGCTCGTACTAGTTTTAAATTTAATATAACTATAAGTTATTAATTCATCAATTACCCGGCAGACTAGCTTGCACTACGTAATTATTACTAACAAGTATCTAAGCTTCGGCCCTTGAAGCCATGAAGCAATGTTATCCTGAAGATAACCTAGCAAAGACCCCTACCCGAACCTACAAAACACCCCAAACTCCGAAATCTAGATATTCCAAGGTCCGCCACTCCGGCACTTCGTGTGGATCCCACCAGCAGAGGATTGCAGCCCGGACAGTCGCGAGAGAGCCTGAATGGGAATGATCGCGAGGGCAAGAACCCGAACGGCCGGAATCCCCCGAACCCAAAGTCCAAGAAGCCAGCCAACTACACAGGGAAGGCGAACTCGAAGCTAAAGATGGGGCGATCAGCTTTGACGGATGCAAAGTTCTGGGTGAAGCAAATTGAAGCAGACCAAGCCGTGCCAGAGCCCGCACTTCGAAAAATGACACTTGGGTTGAATTAATGTTTTGAACCGAAACATCTAAATTGGGAACTCCAGAAAGTTGGAATATGGATTAATGGTAGGATCCCCTATACTTTACCTTCAAGGGGTTACGATAATGATATTCCAACTTTCTGGCTTATACTGATCAATGCAAACCTGATTAACTCGAAGATCTGAACCCCTAAATCCCAAACCCAACACTAGCTACTGCACCCAGGTCATCACAGCTGTCTGAGGGCTACATTTCGCAGATCCAGCTCTACCGAAAGCCTATGGAAGATGCCACCGAAACCCTGGACTGGAAGGTGATCTCGGGTGCAAAGGACGCGGCGACATTGGAACCGCTTGTGAAGGCCCTCGATAAGGCTATCGAGGACTACAACAATGCCCTGAAACCGATCAAAGGCTTGTTCGCTGCTTGACTTAATGAGTTTGTGGTGTGAGCCTGCATGGCCGGGGCTGATTGGAGTGTGCAATGATCTGAGGCAGATCCTACCGCCAAAAAGACTACCAAGAAGCAGAAGAGCGGAAAGAAGTGAGTGCCATGGGCCACTCCTTAATTTTGATGCGAGTCTGTGTGTGTGTGTGTGAGCTATCACATGCATCTAGATGTGCTTCACCTCATTGGTCATGTGGCCGACGGCTCTACCTTAAACTTATCATCTAGGGTCGTGTGCAACACGACATGTACATGCCTGTTGCACTAGCAGCACTGTATAATGCATCAACAATAGGTTTGCAACTCATTGCAGTCGTCTGTTACTGGCCTTAGTACTGAGGTGAATGTTCCCAAATTACGTGGGTTGCAACTCGGGACATCCGATTCAGGGGGATTTGTAAGATCCTTAATCCCTGTCTGAGACATGTGGGCAGACGCTTTCCGCTGGGTGTGGGAATCCTGCACTCGATCCTGGCATGCCTCAATCGGAAAAATCCTCGCCATAGCTTCGAGCACATATGCTAACATGCATCGTACATACTGCTCTGTGTCATCGTTCACATGAGTATGCCATGGCAGAGCACCCCCCACGCAGGCCGAAATGATTATCGCTCTGGCCATCGCTCTGGCCGTGGATGCTTATCCCAATGCTTACACTCGATGATCACTTCAGGGGACGGGCATGTTATAGTTGCAATCTACACACGAGTCCGGAGTTTGCATAAATTCGGCTCTTCAGTACACCGTCCCTGAACAGGAGCTCACCTATGCTTCCGCACAGCGGGTGGCCCATGCTGCAGTAGAGGACTGCAGTGACTTACGGGGTGCTGTGATCGGATCCATATTGCACTAAACCCCTCTACCCTAAAACCCAACCCCGGATTGTCCGAGTGTGAGCGCCGAAACCAAACCCTTATCCCCTCAACTCAACCCTAAACCCCTAAACCCCTAAACCCTGAAGCCGCAAGCCCAAAACCGCATCAAACCTTAAAGCCCGAAAGTGTTGAAATGTTTTGACATACATGTTCTGAAGTCTGATTTTTCCAGTAGGATCCCAAAATCCCTCGATGCCGGCAGGTTGCAACCCGAAGCTAATAATTCCAGCATCGCAGAAAAAATCCAGCATCGCAGGACTTCGATGGCCACGATATCCAGCCTGACCGACCACTGGCTGCTATGGCTAATGCTGGAGCAGAAGGCCGCCACACATCCAACATAGAGAGGGATATTCTGAGGAGAGAAGCCCCTTGCCAAGCCTGACTCCCAGTTTATTGTACTGTGCAGGGTTTGGCTCTAGATCTCAGCGATTGTTTATTGGTTGTGCTCAGGTGCCAATACGAACTGTTACGGTACCTGTTCGAAAGCGGGAAGGAGGAGTATGGAAGACGGAGTACAGGATCCTTGACCGCATAAGTTACTTGGGGTTATGTTCTCGCAAGCTCCCCGCCCCAAGACCTAATAAGGGAGATGCCAGTGGTTCTCCCGCACGACGTCTTAAATGCTTTGCATGTGTGTGGGCGGCTACGGCAACTCTACACCGACGAAGACCTCTGCCTCTTCTGGGATAACTTCAAACAGCACGAGAGCTCTGTTATTCAGTGGCCTGCACAGGCCGAACGGGGAATGCTCCCCATCGGCATCCACGGAGACGATTTTCGGTACACCGAGCATGGCCAAAAGCTAGTGCTGGTGTCTATGAATTTGTTGATCGACAACAAGATGCAGGACCGCTTCCCGTTGTTTGGTGTACGGTGTGCTGCTAGGCTTCACCATAATATGCCCGGATCCAACATGTAGAGAAGCTAGCTAATTTGAATAGCTAGGTATAGTCGTCAAGAATATCGAGTAGATACATGTCCACGTACACACAGATGCTACTGCCGACAAGCCCAAGGCTTTGAGCACCGGGTTTCCGACGCTGCAAGCCTTCATGCGACCCGCCTCCAGGCACCGATTTAGAGTGTCCAGGCATGCCGGTGTGTACTCGCTCGTGTGATTGTTCGAGGGTTTAGCTACAGTCGCCAGCTCGAGGGTTTATATCATGATGTGGAGAGCTAAGATTGCCGCATCTTTCAATTACTGCCTTTTGGGAGTGGCTCCTATGTACGTGGACCCGAACAACATCAGACCGGAAGCGGTGGAACAGTCGGCAGCTGACGTGATGGGTGACAAACTTCAGTTCCCGAAAGCTTACTTTTCGGAAGTTCGGTCGGACTGGAAGTTCATGAAGGCCACAGATCTACAGGGGATATGTCCCATAGCTAGCTGTTGAGATTTATGCACAGCCCCAAAACCCTAACCCCCAAACCCTAACCCTAAAACCCTAAACCCTAACCCCTAAACCTTAACAGCTGCAGGAACTCATGAACTTATCTGCAGCCTGGAACTGCAAATCCTTATGCCATCATTGCAAAGCGAAAGACAGCGACTACCTCAAGTTTCCGTCTCAACTACGCTATCTTCCTCGACGAGGGTGGCAGGACTTCGTCTCGGTTTGCAAGCCCCACCAGGGTGTGCGAAGTGACCTGTCCCCGTTATTTCATATATCAGGTTACGGTTTAATGGTGAACAAAAATCCTGAGCAACCTCCTGAGGCCATGTGCTGGGTATCAGATCATTCCATCATTCTGCACTTCGTTGGTGCACCATGCACACAGTTAATCTTGGGATATGCCTTTGGACGGCGGCCTCAGTGCTCATCATCCTTTTGAGGATGGAGGACAATTTGGGCTTAGTGAGTGTGTACCCTGTGCACTGAATAAACTGTGGACTGCTTGTACATGTTATTCAATGCAATTTCGTACCACAGGACATTTGGCCGGCACCCGCCGGGACTCTGTCAAAGGACGCTATGAATGCTCGATTGTCCATTGCCCACTCGGAGTTCATGGGATGGAGTCGGGCGAACAAGATTGAGCATCATATGCTGCAATTATGTGTGTGTGTGTGTGCGCCGACATATGGCCTGTACTGCATCGTGATGATTCTGATCGCCAGGCACTCTCAGCCGGAATTCCAAGCACGAAACCTTCGGGATTCAGTAACGGGATATGCGGAGATGAGCATGAAGGCTCACAATGCCCCTCAGCTTGCACCAGGATCTGCTTTCAGCTACAACGTGTGCTACACACAGACATGTTCTGATCCAAGGCTCGTGTGGTCACGGGATGGATGTGCCATCTGCTGCTCGGGCTGCACAACTCCCGCGAACAGTTTCGACGTGATCAAGAGCTGACTGAGATGGTGAAAACGGTGCAACATTGCTGCAACTGAACATGGTTTCATGTATGCAGTTCGACTCATAATCGAGCTTAACGCCTCTTTGAGGTATTGGCTCAACGAATTTTTCAATCGTATGGAAAAGCACGGGCGGTTTCTCACCGCAGCTGCGAAAGCTGAGCTCGAAGAGGCATGTGAATCTTGGAATCGAGATGAACATGCATCGATTTTCTTTATTTTTAATCCTATAACACGTATGTAACATTCGCATATATGGATGCTTGCGACTAAGGATTCCATGTGCACGAGTTATGCTACCCTCGCGACGATGGCAAGCCAAAGATCTGATCGACTGTGGCCTTTGCGGCCAAAGCATCATGTGGCTTTGTGGCACACATTTTATGTTTAAACTTGCATTGTCCAATGCAGACGAATTGAGAATCTAGAATAATGTGAGGCATTCCAGGAGGCAGTTTACATGGCTACGATGGACGGCACCGTGGTAGCATATAAATTCGAATTCGAATGAAGCAATAGCACCAAACTTAAAGCCGTTAGCCAAGGCCAAAACCCAAAGTATGGGCATACCTTTCGGGATGAGGGATACATGGGAGCTGCCAAAGGCCGGCAGATCAGTGAGCCGTGTCAGGGGAAATAATAGTTTCATCGTGCATGCTCCCTGTGCCGCAGGAATCGCTCGAAAGTGCCATCGTGCGAATTTGGAGATGTCATTCTTCCGCCGTGCTTATGGTGAGTGGCTTGGTAGCATTACGACGACACTGCAAGCCTGTTGGTTTCGAGGGAGCATGTTGTCGCTTCGAGGTTCCCGAACATGCCATGATCGTCGAGTGTGGCTGCCGAGAAAATGATGGCCGAACCGATTGCACATGAGATAAGTTCTGGACCCAAATCCTGAACCATTAATCCCCAAAGTAGGCCAAGTATATCGAATTCTATCGCTATCTAATTATATAATTAGCTATATATAATACTATATATGTGTACATATAATCAACTTATTCTCAGAGTGGCTTCAGAAGCTGCACTACATCCAACATGGACTTTCACGCCGAGGCCTCGTATGTTGGTAACTTAAGACCCTCTGGGTACATACCATACATAAAACATATATATATATATATATGTATGCGTACCTACGTACATATGTTTATCAAACGGATACACGAAAATTCACTCTTTCCAACGTACACTGCCCGGAAATCTCTAGATTCTACACCCAGCAGAGCCCTTTTGAAGAACCCTTTAAAGGTAAAGCCCTGATAGTAGAGTCTAGACCCCGTGAAGAGCCGAGGCACCATGTCACCGCAATCAAGCCGATGGAAAAGGCTTGCCGTTGGAAGCTCGTGTGCTGCCTACACCCGGGTTTGGGGTTTAGGGTCTTATAGGTAGGGGTTTAGGGTTTAGGAGGGGTTGGGGGTTTAGGGTTTAGGAAGGGTTTTGGGTCTTATAGGTAAGGGTTTAGGGTAGGGTCTTATAGGCAGGGGTATAGGGGTTTGGGGTTTAAGGGTTTGGGGTTTAGGGTCGTGGGATCTTGGATGATTCGGGTTTGTGCAGAGGCTACGCAGCTGGTTTCTCAAGGCTTCATTTAGCAGCTTAGCAAAACAGAGAGCTTCGTGACTCGAGGGTTTCTCCCTACTTGGGTTTCCGGCCCGAGTTGTAGCTTGGGGCCCCAAACTGACGAAGCCTGTGTACAAGAATTTACCATCGAAAAGCGTTGACGTGCCCCCGAGTTGGGGCTCACGCACTAGCTGTACGGGCATGCAGGGAGTATCAGGCTGTTGTGATGTCTCAACGAACCTACAAGTAGGAAGGTTTTTTAACCTAACCCTAGGCATCAAAATAGCCGAAAAGCCTTATACAGTATGGTCTTTGGGCCCAAGAGCCTTAATGTCTGAGTCCTTAGATTCCTAGGGCAAGACAAGCCCAAGGAGGTCCACGTGCCTAGTATTCATGTTGGCCCTAGCAGCTCCTCTCTAGCAACCCCTCCCATGACAAAGTATAGTAGGGGTTGGGGTTCTTATAATAAGAGTCCTACTATCTAAACTACTACATCAAGTGGATATCAACAGTCCCAGAGATGGTTTATAATTAGGGATCTATATTAAACAGCTAGAAAAATCAAGATTTTGCCAAATTTAAACCAATACCTACAGTAAAAATACTGTCTAAGAACCCACTGTTTAAGAACCTGAGCCCCTACCCAGGCGGAATTCACCAGATTAAGAACCTTCGCGTACCCTGGATTTTTGAGTCAGGTTCTTAATTTTTTGGTGCTTTCCCTCACCAAGGAAATTTAGAATCGACAACTAATTTTCCCAACCCTCCACATCAAGAAACCCTCTGCCCGAACATAATAAACCTATAATGGCTTGATGACGACAGGAATGCCACAGCGCAGTGGTTGTGCATAGGTTCTGGAGGCATGACGCTGCTGTTTCAAACCCCCTGGTGTCATACCCCGGAAGCTTTGAATTGAAAACTAGATTTTCCAAACCTCCAGCATCCTGCCTGTGCTCCCCTGACTCCAAAGTACCAGGAAATTTAGAATTGAAAACTAAATTTTTCCAGACTCCGAACCCTGTACTCCTGGCCCTGTGGTCTCTGGCCGAAGGCTCCGGTCCACACCCAAGGCAGCAGGAAATTTAGAATCCAAAAGTAAGTTTTGCTGTGGAAATTTTACAATTGAAAACTAAATTTTCCAGACCCCCATGGCCCACCGCCCCCCCCACAAGGAAATTTAGAATCCGAAAGTCAATTTCCTGAGAGCCTTCAGTCAAGGTACCAATCGCGGACAAGAACGTGGTTAAGAACCTGAGCCTGCCCTAGCTGCTCGACCGGCAAAATCACATGTAATGGAATTAAGAACCTTAGGGTAGGCTACTCTCGCCGAACGGGGTTCTTATACAGGGTTTTCACTGTAGTATATATCACAGTTACGCCGGACATTCAGCGAAACCAAGCGTCGTGAAGGTCATCCACTCCCTCTGGCCAAGAACATGGGAAAACCCGGTCAATCCAGCCCATGACCCATACACAACCTTATATGTAGTGCAACTACTGCTACGAACAATGAGAACTATACTCTCAAAGCCTTATAGAACCCGTTACATGCCTCGTATAGAACCTCTTTGAAGCCTCTTATAGAACCTTTTGAACCCCCCGCTTGAAGCCCAGAAGAGCCGCTAATAGAAAGATCAAACAAAGCCCCTAGACCCAAGAGTACCCTAGGAATAAAAAGGGTGCCCTTTTTTTGGTTTAAAGTGGCTTGTAAAGGAACCTGAGGGTGCGTGAACAACCCCCATCCATTTACATGACCCTTAACATGGTTATCGTTTTATTTTACTCTTATCGTTTTACAGGACTTGGGGTCTGTGTGATCTACTTCATGCGCCTTTTGCCACTCTTATCGTTTTACAGGCAATTGGACTGCGTGTTCTAAAAATTCTCGGTTATCGTTCTTTTTTACTCTTATCGTTTTACAAGGAATAGTCAATGTTCTTGACTTAAAGACGCTTTCATCTAAACCCCGATAGCGATGGTTTTTATCATCCCTCACCTGAACCCTTGAAGGAATAAGGGGCTACTCTAGGTCCTAGGCTCATTGCCAAGCCTGTAGGCGGCCACCATGCTCACCACCAGGACCACAAAATAGACGACAAGGCCCACATAGTTCCTGGGATCCGCTTTATACGGCTGCTGCGCCAGTTTGGGGAACTAGAACAGGACCCTCATGTCGAAAACTACCTAACCCAAAGGGTCCAAGTAATAGTATAGTCTATAGTTTGGGGGCCCAAATACCTACTAAGTAATTACTATCATAGTATTTGGACCCTCTGGGTAAATGCATCACAGCGGCAGGGGAGACATCGACACCATGGTGTTTGCTGCAGCTTGCGAGCTGCGGCAAAGGTCGGAACAACCCTGTAAGTAAGACTCAAAATGGCCGCAGAGACCTTGCTATGGCCCGCCTCTTAACTGGCTCTGACCTTGGAGCCTTTGTGCGCAAGTAAAAGCGTCAGACTACCGCAGGTTGCTGCACGCAATGTCCAGTTATGATGGGGGAGTCGTTCCTTCCTGCAGGGCCTTTTTTGGCACGATACAGTATGATCACATCTTACATGATAGCCTACCCAAGGGCTCAAAGCATCGAACCGTGACCCTAGACTCGAGTATCGTGAGCACGAAAGGTTTGAGAAGAAACTGAAGCCTTTTAAGCTTATGGATAATTGGAGAGACCCGGATTCATGTTGCCTATATGCCTGCGGTCGTGAGCAGCAAATTTCGCGGTAGAGGCGACAACGCTATGCAATACAACATCACGTTGCTGCAAGCTCTAGGGTAAGGGGCCTGAGCAACTATAGAAGCGCTTGGAATGTAATCTAACAACAACGGGACGATACAGGGAAGTCTGATACTGAATGTTATGACTCAGACCCTCTATGATGCAGCCTATAGGGTCCAGGATATCCACGCCACGGCTTGTCTGGCTAGGACGAGGAACTACGAGTTCACAACGCCTAAACCGTTCGAGTCTTGCTCTTCGGCACACCGTAAGTCCAGCTACCTATGTAGCGGATTGCTGTCTGTGCATTGGGGCCCCATATGAAGCCCTGTGCAAGAAGAGTAACGCGGGGTAGGGGGCCTGTGCGGTTTGCACTAGGAGCGACTGTATAGTGTTGGTTTAACCACAGGGCGGCCAGTCGTCGTTGGTTCTTGCTCTACGGAATTCAACTCGACTTATAGGGATCCATGTTGAAATCCAAAAGTTCGCTTCATAGGGTGCTAGGATGCTGTCGTGAGTTTTTGAGGGCTTTAGGATCGGAAGTTCCGTGGTTTTAGGATCGAAGACTTGGGAGTTTACGGCTGCAGGAACTGAGGATCGGTAAGGTTGGGGATGTTGTCCTATATGGGAGTTGCCGAAAATTAGGGGTACCTTGCTTTGGGGTCGTCCTTTAAGGGGATACTATAAGGGTGCTATAATGAGAGTTATGATAAGGATAATTGGGACTCGTGCAGGGCTGTAGGGTTTTTGGCATGTAGGGTTTAGTTTAGAAGGCTCCAAACGCAGGGATCAATGCCGGGTAGTTCTTTCTTTCATTTCTTTATCTCATCAAAAACAAGCAGCAAAGAACCCTGGGCCCAGCCTTATACCCAAACCTTGAAACCCAAATCCTTAAAGACATCCTTGCCCTAAGCCGTAAAACCCTACATCTTTAGGGACCATCTTTGCCCCGAAACCCTCAACCCTACATCTTGGGCCCAGCATTCTCCCTGAACCCGTATAAACCTCAAAGTCTGAAGAGGGGCAACTTAGTAAGTAAGGATATAAGAACATCCTTGGGATTATCAGTAGTCATACGTATAGCTACCTAAATTATACTCCTACCTACTGAGTCCCTAAACCCTATACTTCCGAAAACCCCAAAACCATAGAACTTAAACCCCAAACCCTACTTCCTAAACCCTAAACCCCCGGGCACGCACCCGAAAACCCTAAACCCTAAAACC